AGTGGGCAGAGAGGCATACCCACTTCCTTTTTAACCCCACCCCAGTCAGAATCACTTTAAGCAGGTTGTTGGGAAGGGGAGTGTGTGCTGGTGATTCAGAAGTAGAGGGTGGGAAGTTGGAGCACAGGTAAGCAATTGTGCAAGGAATTCCTCTCTGGTTTGGATTAAAGCCCAAGTCGGAGATGAACTTGCAGGGAGTTACAATGCTCACCCTGTATTCCGACCTGGGACTTCTGGTTAACATGGCGACTGGTCAGGCAGCTGGCTCTGGAGCTCCACAGATAGTGCAATTTTAATTGAGTTTTAATGGGTTTTTAATTTCTTTTAAACCACCCTGTATTCCAAGTGAGCTTTCTGGGTAACTGAGGTTCATATTCCCAGCCAATGAATTATGAAGCTTGAGTCTGATTTGTGCCCAAATACTGCTTTTGGATACAGTATTCTGGGTATGTCCAGGAAATTCCAGGTGCATAGCAACCCTATCAGGCAAAGCTAAATTAAATGACCCTGAGTATGTCCTCTTAAGAGCACAGGAATTGCCTTTGAAAGAGCATTAGAAGAACTCTGCTGGTTCTGACTAAAGACCTACCTCAGGGGTAGCCAACTTGGCGCCCTCCAGATGTTCTGGATGACAGTTACCATCAACCCACAATATAAAAACACAAAATACATAATCAAGATTTTTTTAAAAAAACCCCAAATCCTCCCCCAACACATTTTGAAAAGGCATTGGATGTCAAACAACCAAAGGCCTGGTTAAAAAGGAATGTTTTTGCCTGGCGCCTGAAGGTGTTTAATGAAGGCACCCAGCAAACCTCCCTGGGGTCAGCATTCCACAAATGGGGAGTCACTGCAGAAAAGGCTTGTTCTCGTGTTGCCACCCTCTGGACCTCTCATGGAGGAGGCACACGAAGAAGGGCCTCAGAAGATGATCTCAGGTTCTGGGTAGGTTCATATGGAAAGAAGTGGTCTTTGAGGTATTGTGGTCCTGAGCCATTTAAGGCTTTATACGTCAAAACCAGCACTTTGTTTTTTTTAAATTTTCAATTTTTATTGAAGTTTCTTAAAAAAGACAAAAGAAATAAAAGAAAAAAAGAAAAAAGTAATATACACAATACAACATACGAACAGAAACAGAACTCCATAAACAGACCGTTATAACACAACTCATGTCCCTTTTAGACTTCCCTCAGCGTTACTGACAATCATTCGTTGCTGTCCTTTTGATACGCACTCCTTCCTTTTTTCCATATTGCCGATTGTTCTTCCCTTCCTCCCAATCTCTATTAGGCAATATTTAATATTTTTTTTACAAAGCCTCTTTAAATCCCACTAGCATTATTTTTACACCATAATTGCTTTCCAGATAACACACAAATTTCTCCCAGTCCTTTATAAATTTTTGATCTTTAGTATGTCTAATTTTCCCTGTTAATCTATCCAATTCCGCGTATTCTGTCAATTTTGCTCTCCACTCTTCTACCGTTGGGACATCCTCCGACTTCCATTTCTGAGCTAATACGACTCTGGCTGCTGTCACCGCGTACTGGAAGAGCTTATAATCCTTTCTCCTGACATCCTTCCCTATAATACCTAATAAGAGTGCTTCGGGTTTTTTCACGAAGGTATACTTCAGCATCTTTTTCAACTCGTTATAAACCTCTTCCCAAAAGCTTCTAACTTTATTACATTCCCACCACTGATGGAAGAATGTCCCTTCTTTAGATTTACACTTCCAGCATTTGTTATCCACCTTATACATCTTTGCCAGTTTAGTGGGAGACAGGTACCATCTATAAAACATTTTCATCGTGTTTTCCCTCAGTAACGTACAAGCCGTAAATTTTATGTTCTCTTTCCACAGCCTTTCCCAATCTTCTAGTTTGATATTATATCCTAAATCCCTCGCCCATTTTTCCATCACCGGTTTCACCTCTTCTTCTTTCATGTGCCACTCCAACAGTATTTTGTACATTTTTGATAAATTTTTATATTCGTTATTTATTATCTCTTTTTGGAAGATTGATTCTTTTTCTTCATAGTTCCTTTCCTTCAATTCTTTTTTAAACATTTCATTTATCTGGAAGTAGTTTAGCCAATCATACGTTAATGCATTAACTTGTTCGTAGGGTTTTATTTTCCACTTCCCTCCTTCTTTAACAACCATTTCTCCATAATTTCCCCACTTCCCCCTCATGTTAATTGTCTTGATACACCTCATTTCTAGTGGGGACAGCCAATGTGGAATTTTGGGCTCTAATATATTTTTGTACCTATCCCAGACCTCTATTAAAGCACCTCTGAAGATGTGATTTGTAAATCCTTTATGTACCTTCTTTTTATCACTCCATAGGTACGCGTGCCACCCGTATCTGTTATTAAACCCTTCAAGATCTAATAACTCTTTGTTCTCCAACTTTACCCATTCTTTTATCCAGCACAAACATGCTGCCTCGTAGTAGAGTCTCATGTCTGGTAGGGAGAAGCCACCTCTTTCTTTTATATCTGTCAAAAACTTAAATTTAATTCTCGGCTTCTTCCCTTCCCAGACATATCTTGAGATCGCCTTTTGCCACTCTTTGAAGATTTTTATACCTTTTATTATGGGTATCGTTTGGAATAAGTATAGCAGCTTGGGAAGCACCATCATCTTTACTGTCGCTATTCTTCCCCAGAGTGATAATTTCATTCTGGCCCACGACTCCAAATCTCTTTTTACACCTTTCCATACAGGGATGTAATTATGTTGAAATAAATCTATGTTTTTATCGGAAAGCCAAATTCCTAAATACTTAATCTTCTTTACTACCTCAATCTCTGTTCTTTGCTGTAAAAGTTCCATCTTGTCTCTATCCATATTTTTAACTATCATTTTAGTCTTTCTCTTATTCAATCTGAATCCTGCCAATTTGCCGAATTGTTCCATTTCATTTAGAATTTCCTTTATACTATCTGTAGGATCTTCCACAGTCAGGACCACGTCATCTGCATATGCCTTAATTTTATATTCATTTACCCCTAATGTCACCCCTTTGATTTGTTTATTTTGCCTAATTGCGTTTAGAAGAACTTCCAGGACCACTATAAATAGTAATGGCGAAAGTGGGCATCCCTGCCTTGTACCCTTACTTATTTTTAATTCCTCCGTGATGACATTGTTTACTATCAATCTTGCCTTCTGCTCTGTGTAGATAGCTTGGATACCATTGAGGAAATCCTGACCCACCTCCATAACCTCCAAATTTTTTATCATAAATTCCCAGATTACATTATCAAAAGCTTTTTCCGCGTCCACGAATATTAAGCTAGCTGGTTTATCATATCTTTCGGACAGAAATTCAATAACATTAACTATATTCCTTATATTGTTCCTTATCTGTCTGCCCGGTAAAAAGCCCTCTTGGTCTCTGTGTATAATCTTTATCAATATCTTTTTTAATCTCTTAGCTAAAATTCCCGCGAAAATCTTGTAGTCTATGTTTAATAGCGAGATAGGCCTGTAATTCTTAACTTGTGTAAGGTCCGAATCTTGTTTTGGTATTATTGTAATAAATGCCTCTTTCCATGTTCCTGGGATGTCCTTCTCTTTTAGGATGTTATTCATTACTTTAGTCAACGGGTCTATCAGTATGCCTTTCATTTCCTTGTAATAACTGGCAGTGAACCCATCCGGCCCAGGTGCTTTCCCTCTTTTTAACTCTTTTACGACTTCTTCTACCTCTTCTTTATATATTGGGGCATTCAACTGTTCTTTTTCATCTATTGGGATCTTCCTCACCGCTTTTTCTTTCAAATATCTTTCTATTTTCTTCTTATTATTCCTCTCCTTATTCTTATACAATTGCTTATAAAAGTCCACGAAAGCTCTCCTGATTTCCTTCGGTTCTGTTGATTCTTCTCCATTTACCTCTATTTTACTAATTGTATTTGCTTCCTTTCTTTTCTTAATCTGCCAGGCGAGCCACTTTCCTGATTTATTAGCATACTCAAAATTTTTTGCCTTAATCTTTTAATGTTCCCTTCAACCTCCTTATTTATCAACATCGCAAACTGGGTTTGTAGGATCTTTATTTCCTGCTTTATCTTCTCATTATTTGGTTTTTTGATCAATTTTTGTTCGTGGTCCATAATCTGTCTAAGAATCTCTTTTGACCGTTTCTCTTTATTATTTTTTTTCCAGACATTCTGTTGAATCAAGAGGCCCCTCATCACTGCCTTACGTGCATCCCACACCCACTCATTTTTGTCCCTTTATCCATATTGTTCTTAAAGAATTCAGTTAAGTTTTTTTTGTACTTTCTCCACAAATTTTTGGTCATCCCATAAATTATCATTTAACCTCCACCTAAAAGAACGCTCTTCAAACCCTTTTAGCTCCATTTCTATTGGGTTGTGATCTGAAATCACCTTCGCCTGTATTTCTATTTTGTGCACTCTCGGGGTTAGTTCGTTCGATACCCATATTTGGTCTATTCTAGAAAACGATTGGTTTGGTTCAGAGTGATAAGTAAACTGCTTCTCCAGTGGATGTCTCAGCCTCCAAATGTCTACCAAATTGCAGTTCCTTGTCAACGTAAAAAACGTTTTAGGCAATTTCCCATCTTTGGTCTTTGTTTCCCTTAATCTATCCATTTCTGTTGAGACCACACCATTCAGATCTCCCATTATTATAATTTTCTGATCCATGTATTCAAATAACTTCTCCTCCAACAGGCTAAAAAATTCTGTCTTATTCCCATTTGGTGCGTATATCCCAAAACCAGCACTTTGAATTGGGCCCAGAAACTAATTGATAGCCAGGGCAGTTTGACCAGGATCAGTGTAATATGTTCAAACCGTCTTGCCCCGGTGAGCAACCTGGCTGTTGAATTCTGCACTAGCTGAAGTTTCTGAACCATCTTCAGAGGCAATCCTACGTATAACGCATTGCAGTAACCTCACTGATGCCTTCAAGAACATCACAACCACTATTTTGTAAAATACAACACCTTGCAAAACAGTTTTATTGGTACAGAAGATACTCTTTATTGTATATACTTCATTTTAGTGCATATTTCTATGTCAACTTAAATAAGACTTTGTAACACAATATTTGGAGAATCCCCTAACATTTACAGTGCACAGCTTTTTTAAAAAAACAAAAAAAACAAAAACACTGACTCTTATTTACAGTGACCCATAGGAGGACATTAAAAAAAGAGGACAAATATTTCACACTCAACAACTTGACCCACATCTTGAATATAGTCAACCAGTGCATACATCACACTTAAGTCCATAATTATAGGGGACGTGGCTATTCCAGGTTCCATACCAAGGGATGCAGCTTTGTCCCTACTCTCATGGGGGACAGGTAGTGGGAAGGGAATAGAATAAGATGAGCTTTTCAGTTGCCTAAAGTAATAACAGGGCTGGGTTAAAAGGAAACTGTTGCTGACTGCACCTACAGAGGGCTGAAGCCAATGGAAAGAGCTGTGAATCTTCCAGGACTTGCCTGGGCAGTTGTACACACCTTCTTGTGATATCAAGTCCTCTGTTGAGATTGACGCCTTTGGGGATGAGTGAGCTCTCATTCATCTTTAATTAATGTATCAGAAGAATCCAAAGATGTCCCTGGAGATCTTTCAGGTTCCACAGAGTCTCAATAACAAACTGGCCCCAATCCAGTGATGGATGAATCTGTTACTCAGATTTGTCTTCCACCACTTCTCCAAAGGGTTTGTGGGACGCTTTAGATGTTGGTGTGTGTGTGGGGGGGGGGGTGTCACCTTTTATTTTCACAACAACCCTGTGGCCTGAGAGACAAGAGTCTTGCCCAAGGCCACCAAGTTTGCTTTGAGAAGAGATCTGGACCTTAGTCATTGCAGCTCCAAGCCCTGTGCTCTGTCCATTATAGTAGTGAAGCGGGTGCTTTGTAATGAATACATAACATTACCTAGAATGGCTCCCCCCCCATCATTTCCATTAAGGGAGATGATCTATAAGGATGCACATGCATTTTGGGGCACTGGCGGCTCAGTTAATGGGAACCTGAGCCTAATTGTTTTGTGCGTGCAGATTATACATGAAAAGCTAGATCAAAGCAATGGGTTAGGTTTTCCATCCTCACTTCCAATTTTGGTTACATATAGGTTTTTTTCCCAATAAACACACACAAAAATACTCTCTGGTTTCTGGAGAATATAGACTACAAATACACATGACTTCCTCTATCAGATTAAGGCATCTTTGGAGAATATTGCACTGCAGATCACAACACTGTTGATGCCAATGCTTTATTCTCCTTCTATCACGTTACACTGTGAATCAAAAAAGGCGAACCCATCCTGCTAGCCCAGATATAACTAGATTGGCTAATCAGATTGGGTTTGATGGGAGCTTCCCACATAAAAAGCATAAAACATTTCATTTTACAATATACATTTGTTTTCATTTTATGAAAAAATAATAAAAAAACTGATAAAAATATTGATATACACAGAGGTACCCTTATTGAACCTTTTGCTATAAAAATGCATTACAAATTAAGCAAAAGGAGAGGGGGAAAGCAACCAAGTAAATGCTAACTATAAAGCTCTTCTCAGTAAGGCAAACTTGAAAAGACTATATGCTGTAAGATACTTGCGCAATATTTGGGAAAAGGTTCCTGCTTTAATAGAATGAAGTGCATGATTGAGAAAAGATCATAGGAGCCAGGATCCAAAGGGTGACACAATTAGGTATGCACATTCAAGGGTTGGTTTTTTTTTACTTCTCTTCACCTCTGTTAATCCATGTCCATTTCTGAAACCGTAGAGAGCTTCAAGGCAGGTGACCATTAGCATTTGTATCTAATGTTCGTTCTACTCAGTTTAGACACATTGAAATTAACATACAGGACTAACATAAATCAGTCTCAATGGATTTACTCTGAGCAGAATTTAGTTGGATATAATTCATGAGTATGGATGTTTGCTAGTGCTGAGCCAAAACAAGTTGGGAACTCTTTTCGTGAATGTATGTGTGTGTGTATTGCTATGTGAGTGCTGCTACACCTCTTTGCAAGTCAACCAGCTGCCAACCAGCATGAAGAAGAAAAAAATACAGAATACTGCAAGTTGCAGAAGGTGACCCTCTCCATCTCACCCTGAGATGACAACTTTCACAGTGAAAATTTACCCTTATGAAAATTTGATGTGAAACTCATTCCTGCTATTCAAAGTAAAGTGAGTCAAAAATCCCACCGGGCCTGGCTAAAACAACCCTTTGGATCCCAGCTATCAGGTACATTATACACATATATGGAAGCAGATCATTTATAATTTTGAAAGGCTGATCCACAGGTACATAAAAGACTGGCAACAGGTGAGTCTCAACAACAGCCAGGCTCCCCTCACCAGCATTGCACACTCTTCCAGAGATTCATTTGGGTATGACACCAAGATCTGTGAAGATGATTTGAGGTAACACAAAGGCATAATCCTCTGCTATGGTTTTCAAATGCTATTTCTGATACTCCTTCAATGAATATAAATATTGAGTCCAAAAGGGGAAGTTGTTGACTTTGTGTAGACTCGTGTTGACTTCAATTTGTGATCACAGAGTCATAAAGTTATTGGTCTTCTGCCTGCTGAAACACTCAGAATTAAATTATTGCCAAGAATCCATCGTAAAGATGGAAAACAAAACAGAACAGGTGGGTCTTGGAAGGTGTTCCCTGTCAAAAGTGCCTCTACTTCTTCCATTCAAATGAATATCGGTCCAACACTGGGATTTGCACATGGCTTTGGAAAGACCCAAACTGAGCATATTTGGGTCTTCTCTACCATAAGCTTCTGTTCCATGTCCTCAACAGTGTAGCTGGTCTCCCTCCCTCCCCAGTGTTGCTAGAGGGAGACACAACGTTGGCACTTGGCCATGTGGACGAGGTTTGTTTAATACTAAGCTGGGTGACTTGGTATTCTTAGGTTCAGTCCAGTTCCAAATTGCCCTTCATGCACAGCACTAATATAACAACTGTGTATTGAAACAATCATTTAGAAGGTTTGATGGTTCCTCAGATCTAAAGCACTTACTCTCAAGGGGATGTTAGATGAAAAGAGAGGACAATGAAAGCAATGTATAGAAAAGTGAAGAATTGAGATTTGTATTGTCTGGGTTACACCATAAATCATCTACACTCAAAGTGTTTGAGGTGCATTAATTGCACAACAGTCTGATTTGGTGTGGATTTCATGCTAATGCTAAACAGCACATCATGATGTTAAGGCACACTGGGGTCAGATGGACTTCTTGCTATTGGACTTCTTGAAATGAAATCAATGTGCTGGGCAGATGTGTAGAAGAGTATGCAGTGGAGCAAAAACTGCTCCCAGAGCCGCACATAAGGGCAACATTTTCCCCTCCTCTGTGGCAAATAACTTCTGAAAGCCTGGCTTCACTTATTATGGGTGGTGGAGGAGAAAATGAGTGTGTACACACCCTACTTGAAATGAGGCTGGAGAGGTGGAGGAGAAGGAACTTTCTGAGGTAGAATGCTGATAGTTAAGATCTGTTGTTGGTAGCAAGGAGGGGAAAGAGGGAGAAAGTGGGGGTCAGGAAGTGGTCATAGGCAGGAAGGCTTGAGAGAGGCTCTGTTGGTTGGAACTTCAAAGCTACTGGACTTTCCCCGGGCATTGTCCTTCTATACTCTCTTCTCCCCAAGCTACACTTACCCTGCTCCATATCTCCCTTGGCTGGAATGTGTCCCTGACGTGGGCATGCCTTTTGCTTTCCTGGATGGAGAAATGTGTGTTGTGAGGGGCTGGCTGCCTTTCTGAAAATGATATATACGTAGCTTGACTGTAGCCTACTGTGTTAAAGGTAAGAGCCAATTGCATTGCTCCACTCATTCTATCCTCGGGTTGCTGCCTGCCCGTGGGATGTGGTTCCTGGAAGGCTGTCCATGGGAGAATGTAGTTCTTGGGCTGAAAAAGGTTGATAAGCACTTTGTTTAGAAATTTGGCTGGGGGTGGTATGGTGGAACATTACATCATGTCAACCCCCAAACAAAAGCCTAAATTGGTAGAGCCCATGCACAGCTTTACCAACTCAGCCAATGATTTGTCCAAATGACCTTGGGATTACCTTGTTCATCAAACCCAACATTCTAGCCACCAGGTTTTGGGGGGCTCCCTATGCGACATGCACTAAAACCCCTAAAAGCTATTGAATTTATCAGTTTTTAAAAACTGGTGTTTTAGATTATCACCCCTCCCAAAAAAATTACTAACCAAATTTTGTCTTTCTAGCTTCTGCAGAAGATCATTAGAATTTAGATAGATCATGGTATATCAGCAAGGAGCACCTATATATTTCAGTTATAAAGGACTGCCAAGATGGTTTGTGGAATAGGAATAGGTCAACCCATTCACAGGAGCCACCATATCCACATCTGATATGCAGCCAGCTGGTGGTGCCTTTTATTTTATGTGTGTGTGAGCATAATGAATTTGGTGTGTGTGTGTGTGTGTGTGTGTGTGTGTGTGTGTGTATTTAAAGCACAAAGTATAAACAAAGCATAGCAAGAGTATTTGACTACTTCTCTCTCTCTCTCTCTCTGGTCCTCCACTTCCACTTGTGTAGAAAACACAGGAACTACAAGGGAATGATTTTGCCCAGTGACACACACACACACACACACACACAAAGATTCTCTGCCATTTGGCCTCAAGAGCTTGGAACCTAATTCCAACTCTGGCCACTTTCCAGGAAAGGCAGATATGTGCAACTAAGACAACCACCTTTGTTTAGAAAAGTATCACACCAGAAATGACAAGGGAGTGTTCCAAAGTACTACCTAAGCAAGTCACCCACTTGACCGAACATGGGAGGGGGAGACATCTTGATGCTAAGAGCAATTTGACAGTGGGACTGGGGTCTATGATTTCACAATCAAATGTTGATTTGCAGATGGACATACCTGTTTCAGAGACTAGAATTTTGTCTAGTCAGACCAATGCCAGACATACTTTAAAGGGAGAAGGCTGTGTCTCATGGGCAGAGCCCCTGCTTTGCACGCAAAGGTCCCAGGTTCAATCCATGGAGTCTCCAGGTAGGGTTGGGAATATCTCCTAACTGAAACCCTATTGAGTTAGATGGATCAATGATCTGACTTGGTATAAGGCACCTTCCTATTTTCTCCCTTTGAAACAAGCATTTGAAATATGTTGTTGACATTTCTGCCCCCAGATAAGACAACCTTTAGCTGAACACTGATTTTTATCTCGCCCCCCCTCCCCAATTTTTGTTTCAGTCATTAGCAAAGATGACTGCTTTGGTCAGGATCAAGATCAGCACACTGAGAACTTATATGTTAATCCCCACCCACCCTGTAAACCTTAAACAAAAACCAATGAATGGTCTGGGAAGTTCATTTGACAAACTGAATGATTGTGTGATAGGGTGTGAATGATGAATCTTCGCCCAAAGAAAGCTGGAGATACTCTTCGGAGTGTGCCAGCCTGCCAGGACCAAGCATGATTGAGAGCTTTGTCACTGACTTCACAGGTATTCCCAATTTCTCTTTATAAGGTACTGGCTTTCCTTTTCTTAATCATCATATAGATAGCCAATGCTGGAACTGCAAGGGGAAAAAGAAGAAGAAAAGATTTGTCTGAATACTATGGTGATGTTGCTAATTGTATTGCTAAATTCTAGCAAAAACAATAATGAAAACCTCCCTCCCCTGCCCACTTCACGGGGCTAAAACCTGAAGAGAAGGCTAATGAGCAATAAATATAAAATCAGTAAGTACAGCCTCTGAACTACAAATTTCTTGGGGTTTGGAAAGCTTCTCAGCAAAAAGGTCCAAACTGCTCTTTGCAAGAATGACATGGATCCCACTATATCAGGATGTCCAAATGTTGTGGGACACCTACTCCCATCAGTCCCAGGAAGCATGGCCTATGATAGGGATGATGGGAGTTGTAGTCCTCCAACAGCTGGAAGCGACCACATTGGCTACCCTGCTCTACATAAATCCAAGGGGCTTTCTTTCTAATAAAACTTTTATACAATGGCTCAGAATCAAAATATCAGTTTGGCGTGTGTATATATATTCTTAAACCCATCTGTCTACCTGTACACATATACACGTTTGTGATTCATATATTCCTGTTTGATGTACATTATTACCCTGCACAGTGATACCTCAGGTTAAGTACTTAATTCGTTCTGGAGGTACGTTTTTAACCTGAAACTGTTCTTAACCTGAAGCACCACTTTAGCTAACGGGGCCTCCTGCTGCTGCCGCGCCGCTGGAGCCTGATTTCTGTTCTTATCCCGAAGCACTATTTCTGGGTTAGCGGAGTGTGTAACCTGAAGCGTATGTAACCTGAAGTGTATGTAACCCGAGGTACCACTCTACATCTTTTCAAGGAATGGACATTTACAAATGAATAAAGTTCAGAGAAGAATACAAACCTTATACTGCCGCACATTCCCTTCTGCTACAAGATGGTGTTCATTCTCAGGTGTGATGCAATATGCTAGTCTCTACAGAGGAGCACAGGCAGAGGAGAAGAATCACTTTAAGGAAAATTATACTTGCATATTGATGGTGGAATAAAGCTCTTCTATTTTTATTTTTAGCAATAAAACACACACTTTAGTTAGTGCAGGAGTAAACACATCACAAGTTACACAGATATCTTTGGCTGCATGTGAGGATTCTGTGACACCACAGCACCTTAAACAAAAGGCAGGAGTGGGACACAGAAAGCTTAGTGGCAAATAACATAACCTGCTTTGAACCAGCTTTGCAATAGAAGATGCTGGGAAGTGAAAAGCAAGAGAGGGAAAATTGTGCCTTCACGCTTTCTTACTGAAAGGCTGAAGCACATCTAAAGTGAACATGACAGCACTGAGAAGGCTTTCCCATGGCAGTGACAGGAAAATTAATATGATCACAAAACTTAATTCTGCACAGTTTAGGGATGGTAATTGGGAAGCGAGCACAGTGCAATTGCAATGCAGAATAATGGGAGACATTTTTTCACCATAGAAACCAAAGCTCTCTTTTTGAAAGTATAGTTAAACCAAATATGATAAATTTTGGGTTCTGTATCCTTATACCAGTGCTGGTTAACCTGTGCCGCCCCCCAATGTTGTTGGACTGCAACTCTCATCAGACTTTGCCAGCATGGTCAGGTCAGGGTGATGGGAGTTGTAGTCCAACAATGTCAGAAGAGCCACAGGTTAGGAGCATAGAAAGCTGCTTTATACTGAGTCAGACAGTTGGTCCATCTAGCTCAGAATTGTCAACACTGACTGCCAGTGGCTCTGCAGAGTTTCAGATAGGGCTTACTCCCATCCTTACCTGCGGGGTTGAACCTGGAGGGGGCTGCATGCATGGCAGATGCTCTAGCACTGAACTAGAACCCTTTGCCATCACTGGTCTACAGAGAGAGTTTTGAAATAGCAGTTGGGATTTAAATTTGGAAAAGGAGTGTCACTGTCACCGCGTCTGTCCCAGCCTTGACCTCTGTCTTGACCTCTTTTGCTCAAGCCACATTCCCATTACTTTGCAAGTGATTCGCCTCCATTAAAAACTTAAGTGTGAAAAAACTGCAGAGAAGGGTTTCCCCCATTTATTTTCACATCTGGTTTGTGGAAGAATTTCCTGTAACTCATTTTCTGTAATAGAATTTATTTTCACATCCAAGGCAAGGAAGTGTATCTTAAAAGCTTTCCCATTATATTTTGCTTCTATACATTATTATCATGTTTTATTCACTGATATACCACTTAATGCCAAAATAGATACTCAGGGATGCACTTGGGGGTGGGTGGGGTGGGTGTTAATGGTTCTCCCCAACACTTTTTTTTCCTGATGGAAATCACATCCCTCCCAGTCTGAAGCTTCTATTTATTCCCGGCACATTCAAGGAGTGAATTTCAAATCATAGAAATAGCATAAAAGAAATGTTCAACCAATTCCACTCCTTAATCTAATCTCTGCAGATGTTTTGAAGTTAAGAACAAGTTGCTAGCAGAGCCAACAGGGTGCCCTCTAGATTACAACTCACATCATCCTTGACTATTGGCTACATTGACTGGGGCTGATGGGAAATGGAGTCCAACAGCACCTGCAGGGCACCAATTGGCTATCAGCGTGCTAGAAAACGAGATGATGGCTCTCATGTCTAGTTTGTCCTTTAATAGGTCAGGTCCTGGGGTGTTTTAGCTTCCAAACTTCCAGAACAGGAAGTAGAAAAAGAGTCCTAAATCCCTTCTTGAAATGGCAAATTACTTAAAAGCTGCTTCCGAAAGGTCACCTATCTGCAAAAGTGTTTGTGGAATTAAAGAAAGCAAACTCTTAGCTTAATACTGGCGATTTTCATTTCACAAAGAACATTTCCATGACATTTCACTGCTTGGCCACTCACTTGTTTAAAGGTCCCTCGCGCCTTCAATAATTTATAGAGGGCATACGCAGGCACAAGGATCATTGATGACAATGCTATTCCCCATCCGACAGAGTTGGCCCAGGGTGGGAAGACGTACTCATCGTAGGTCAGAGGTTTAAAAGTGACAATGCTGGCTATTACCACAAACTGTGGGAAATAAGAGGAGAAAGTTATAATCAATTTCCTTTGAACCATATGTTTATTCCAAGATGAAACAAAGGAGACTCTTCAGGTGTCTCCTCAGAATAACAACAACAACAACAAGAAGAAGAAGAAGCCACTCTTGATCCTAAGGTCCCAGGGCAGCTTACAACAATTAAAGCACAACATTAAAAGCATTTTAGAACAATTTGCAATCACAGAAATAAAGTGGGTCCTAAGATATTTATCTCTCAAGTATCAAAAGCCAGGCTAAAGTGGTGTATCTTCAGTATACGATGAAAGCTGTGTAATGAAGGTGTCAGACACACCTCTGTGGGGAGGAAGTCCAACAACCTAGGGACTTCCACAGAGAATGCCCTCTTCCAGACCGCCGCCAGCCATGCTTCTGGGGCAATGGAACAACCAAGAGGGCCTTCTCTGCCATTCTCAACACCCAGGAGCGTCTGCAGAGAAGGAGGTGGTCTTTATGGTTACCTCCATCCTCCGGATCTTTCCCCAACCTTGGATTCCCAGATCTTATTGGATGACAACTCCTGTCCTCACTTGTCCATTGGCCCTGCTGGGTGAAGAGGATGAGAGTTGTCATCCAAGAAGATCTGTGGACACAAAGTTAGCAAAGGCTGCTGTAGAACTCTGAAGCTTATTTTGTAATTTGAAGATGACTGGTTTAGCGTAAAATAAACATACAATATTTATCTGCAATCATATTAGTGACCACACAATAATTCTCGGCACTTATGTTAGTCACCAAACGGCTTATCAAACTTCCTATAAATGCTTCCACTTGAAAAGTAATATGATAGAATCACCTTAGAGAATTGGCTTTACAATTGACTCACAGCTGGGCTTTACCTCGTCTACAGAGGAACAGTATATACACATGCTCGATTTTAAGGACGGGAAAGTGAAATATGTAAGAAAAGACCCAGTGAAGGGGAGGAGTGGAACAAAGTTGCTGGAAAGGGAGGGTGGACAAAGGGGTGTACAGATCTTTATGTTATAAATTTAATACATCCATATACCTCCCCCCACCAGCACTCAAGGTGGTGTACTGTAAATGGTTCTCTTCCCCATTTTATCCTCACAACCACTCTGTGTGGTAGATTAGGCTGAGAGGAGGCAGTGACTGGCCCAAGGGGACCCAGTGAACTTCATGGCTGAGCAGAGATTTGAACCCTGGTCCCCAAGCTGTTGGTCTGACACTCTAACCACTACACCATATTGATGTGCGAAGGTGCCTACCCATTGACTTGCCCCAAACAGTCTTCTACCTGAGAAGGAAGAGCTTTGAATGTCCCCTGGCCTAGGCACACCAATTTTGTAGTGGGAGCCTATTTGTCTGTATCACAAATCCAAAAACTCAGTGTCTTCTCTCATCCCCAAATTCCAATTGCTTCTGCTGTCTAGCCTCACCATGCGCCATTCTCAGCTATCAAACTTAACAGCATGAGTGCAAATGGCAACCTCAGAAAGGGGACAAGACCCGATGCACCTCATTGTTTAATACTGAGTGTCAAGTTAAATCTTGTCACAGAAGAAAAGCCCGAAAGGGTTTTGATTTGCCTATAATGTTAGCTATTAGGCTTGTCACTCAAACATCAAGTTAAAGGCATTAGATGTCGGAGAAGAGGCTTCAGCGTGAGTTTATAGTCTTTGCTGGTAGCATGCCATCTTTAGAACAGAAAACAAGCAAGCAAACAAAAACACCACTGCCACAACACAGTAAAAGCTGGATGCTGAACAATAGAATCATAAAGTTGGAAGGTATCCTCACCTAGTCCAACACACTGCAAAGCAGAAGTCACAGCTAAAGAGTCCCTGACAGATGGCCATCCAACCTCTGTTTAAAAACCTCCAGTGACACCACTTTCTGAGGTGGTCCATTCCACTGTTGAACAGCTTTTACCACCAGATAGTTCTTCCTAATGTTTAGCTGGAATCTTCTTTCCTGTCATTTGAACCCATTGGTTCAGGTTCTTGTCATGATTCTGCTCCATATTGATCCAGAGCAGACTCCAACGTATAGTTAGCAGAGTAAAAAATTAAGCACGGTGCAGGGTTCCCAAAAAATAAACCATAGGCAATCAACTTCATCCAGCAGAGTTTTTACTACTGAAGGCAAATGAGCATAACGGTCACAAATCCAAGTCTTCAGGATTATCACAGTACATAAGAAATCAGGTTGCAGCAGACTTAACTTAAACTAAAAATAAGACTAAAACCTTAACACTATATACAGACCACCACACCAGAAGGAAAGAGAGACAGAAAGTGAAACCTAGGCTCCTTCTGGCCTATTATTATAGTCAGCATGACCTGGACAGAAATAGATAACAAAACCAGTTTGAACCAGCTGTTCAGCTTCTCTGAAGGAATAACCCAAACATCAGGAAACTTCTGCTTGTTTCCAGACAGGATAGAAGCTTGATTATAGCTAGAAACTTCTAGCTTGCACCAGCTTGTCTCATACAGAGAAGCTTCTAGAACCTTCTTGAATTAATTAGAATAGGAAAGATCTCTACTTTAAACCAATACTTCCTGTACCAATAAATGCAAACTTGGAGCAGCAGAAAACAAGCTTGTTCCATCTTTCATGTGACAGCCCTTCAGATATTTGAAGATGGTTTTCATATTACCTCTCAGGCTTCTCTTCTCCAGCCTAAACTTACCCAACTCCATCTTTACACTAAAGCAAGAGATTTGCTTCCAGGAAGCTACTATGGACTAGAAATAGACAAATTTCTCAGTTTCAGTTTCCCTCATTTTTCCAGTCTCCCTCCCCCACCCCTTTTTCACATCAGGTTGCAATTCTCCCACCACTAGCATTTGAAAGCACATTTATCCTTAATATATATATTTACTACATTCACACTCACTTCACTTGACATCTGGAATAAAAAAATTAAAGAAGTTTTGGGTTGATCTGCTCTTTTTTTTGTTTCCAATTAAAAAGAAAAAAGAAACCATCTGCTGCTCATCACTGCAATTAGATAGTATGTGTGTTTTCATCTTCTTCAAATCTTCTGAGAGCAAAGAGCCCAAAAAGGTAGGACACATCTGTTATTTATTTATATTTCATTTGAAAAAGATGCACTTAATGGTCTTACAGAGTCCCATTATTAGAAGTAGTGGAGTGGGGGATCTTCAGATTTTGAGTGGGAAATTAAAAAGGGAAATGTTAACAAAAGTGGGTTGTGAGTGTTCCAAGCAGAAACATCTTCCATGTGTTAAAAATTTTAAATGACGCCAAACGGCTTACTGTTTTTCCCCCTTTTAAAATTAATAAACAAATATCTCATTTTCAGATTCTATTTCCCACCACCAGCACCTTTGCAGCAGCTGAAGATTGAAAATAAAACAACAAAACCAGACCCACAAACAAAACTGTGAAACTTCCATTCAACAACAGTCCAGTTACTGATCACTCTTTCCCATTAATCTTCATGTTCCTGCACCTATGGAACAATCTATTTCTTGTACAAAATCCATTAACACGTGCTGTTCTGAAGCCCCACTCCTTTCAGTAGAACTGTGCAGAGCAATTTCAAGTTGAAGGTGTCCAAGGTCAAGGGAGATTCAAACGCAGAAGAAGGTTTTTGCTATTGCAGATGGCTGGCGGGTGCAGGCAACCGACAGCATGTGACCCCCCCCTCTGCTAAAACATCTGCACTGTCTGTTTGATGCTACCAGGGAAGGATCAGAGCTCTTGTATTACTATACAAAGCCCTAAACAGCTTGGGTCCAGGATGCCTGAGCTCTTACATCCCAGCCTGATCACTGAGATCATCCAAAGGAGCACAGTTAGCTGTCTCCAATATTACAGAGCCCTGACTAGCTTCAATGAGAAGTTGGGCTTTTAGTATCGCTGGTCCCTTGCTTTGAAATAATATTGCAGCAGAGATGCAGCAGGCATCTTGCTTTTGACTTCCAGGCATCTTTTGAACTACTATTTTTTTATGCTGTCTGGCCTTTGCAGCTGCTTAAACTTTCTTAATTAGCCAGTTATTAGCTGTGATTCCTGTATCACAGAGGGTTGCTCTAGATGACTCTTGGTGTGCCTTCCGACTTTACAATTCTATGATTAATATTAATGCTTATTTTATATTTTTTTCTATGGTGCTTTACGTTCCTAGTCTTATACGTGGAAAAATATGGTATTTTCTAGGGTACCACACCACACAGGAAGTCTGTATGAACAGAAAAGGCTCCCCATTTTATATGGTCACCCTTCAGTTCATGGAAGGCACTGAGGCTGAGCTAGCATGCTCATCCCCACTCTACCTGATTGTAGGTTTCTTATACACGAACATGTCTGGGCCAGGACCCACATCTTTGATCTATACCAGAAGAGGCAGGGGAGCAAACCATGTCACAGGAGTAGTCAATGTGATCAGGCTGGGATGTAAGAGCTCATCTGTTGCTACTGGACTATAGGTTCTGTCACCATTGGTCATGTCAGATAAGGCTGATGGGAGCTGAAGCCCAACATCATGTGGAAAGGCACCGCTTTGGCTATGCCTGCCATAGATTCACATGCTCTATAATTCCTATTAAAACATCTGAAAGACTTACCAATAAAAAAGCAGGGCTCACGAATTTCCAACAAAGTCTCCAGTAGAGGCCTGGTTTGAAGCCCATCATTTGCTGGATGTCTTCACTGAATCTGTCCACACCTGAAGATCAACCACAAATATAAGACAGAAGCAGACAGTGCATGGATACATTTGACAACAACAGCCACTGCAATGCTTGATGTTCACACTACTTGCTTGCCATCCCACTTAAAGCTGATAAGCAGTTCAAATATGACTCATGTTCTGTGGGATCATCAAAAGGATGATGCTCTATGAAATGATGGCCAAATGACTGCCATCTTGAAGTCACTGAATCCAATGAGATTTAAGCAATTTGCTGCAGTTCCTGTGTGTGCTTATTTGGGAGTAAGTCCCAGGAACTCGGGGGGGGGGGGACGGGACTAAGCTCTGGTAAGGTTTCATACATTTGGAATGCTGTCAAGTAGCAAATCACAGCAAAGGTTTGTCCTCTCTAAAACCCTAATTCAGCTCAATTGCTGTAAGCAAAGTCCCTTAATTCTACAAAACCTTTCCCAACATCTGTTAGTATGAGGGTTTTTAAAAACAAAGTACCATTATTTACAATGTTAATTAGCAAATCTAGTTAGGGTTCTGCTGAAATGGGCACATTTTTCCATTTTGCAATGACAAAAAAAGTCACTTCCTTTTATGATTTTCGAGGAGTTCTCCAAAAAGAGAAAGGCATCATGCAGCAACATCTGCAATGCAGCACCATAACAGCACCAAGTTCCTAATGTTAGAATCATAGAATTGGAGAGTTGGAAGGGACCCCCAGGGTCATCTAGTCTAACCCCTAAAGTTGTCCATGGTATCTGGGTTCTCCCATGTGCCTCTTTTTCAGGAGGAAGCCAGCCCAGGAAAATGGAACTAAAGCAGGGAAGAGGGAAAATAATGCCAGAGAACTAGAAGGAAACTAGAAGGAAACATGTGCACATTTTGCCCCTCCTTAAAATCCCTTTGTTGCCCAAAATGACAGTCAAACATATAAGAATATCCACTCAATTTGTAAACACCACAGTTTATCCATGTAATAACAAATTCTTATTTGGAATCATTCTTTGTAAAAACTCTTACATGCAGTCATTCCTTCCCCACATAAACTGACACAGATATAGCTTAAGCTGCCATCAAAACATTTCAGAAAAACTTCCTTTGGCTGGTGCTAAAATGTCAAGTGCGCCTTTCAGTTAAACAGAGTTTTCTGCTGGTCAATAAGGCAACTGGGCATTGAAAGAAGGGGATGGCTGGTGTGTGTGTGTGTGTGTGTGTGTGTGTGTGTGTGTGAGAGAGAGAGAGAGAGAGAGAGAGAGAGAGAGAGAGATCAACTCTGAAGATAGTAGGTCGGCAGAGCCATGCCAGATTTAACCAATGATCAATTTTAACATTCCATACAGCCATAATAAATTATTTTTTACAGAGCAATGTGTCAACAACAAAAATAATCTCTTAGCTTCCTGAAACAGTTGACTTGAAAGTCTCCCCTCATACTGATCCACAGGAGGGAATCAGCCTTCTACCTTCTATAGCTGATCATATATCTGTCTACGTTGACTGGTAGTAACTCTCCAGAGTTTTAGGCAGCAGACCTACCTGGAAATTGAACTCTGCAGGCATAGAAGATGCTCCACCACTGAGTCATGACCCTGGTCTAATGTAGGGAGCTGCCTTCTACCCAGCCAGACCACTGGTCTATTCTACTAGACATCTTTTAAACTCCATTGAACACAGGAACATAGGAAGATGCCTTATTCACTGAGTCATACAGCTGGTCCATTTAGATCAGTGTATTGTCTATATGATAGGGACGTGGGTGGTGCTGTGGGCTAAACCACAGAGCCTAGGACTTGCCAATCAGAAGGCTGGTGGTTCGAATCCCCGCAACGGGGTGAGCTCCCGTTGCTTAGTCCCTGCTCCTGTCAACCTAGCAGTTCGAAAGCACATCAAAGTGCAAGTAGATAAATAGGTACCACTCCGGTGGGAAGGTAAATAGTGTTTCCGTGCGCTGCTCTGGTTCGCCAGAAGTGGCTTAGTCATGCTGGCCACATGACCCAGAAGCTGTACGCCGGCTCCCTCGGCCAATAAAGCGAGATGAGCGCGGCAACCGCAGAGTCGGCCACGGCTGGACCTAATGGTCAGGGGTCCCTTTACCTTTATTGTCTATATGATAAGGAGTGGCCTTTCAGGATTTTAGGCAGGGGTCTCTCCCAGCGCTATCTGGCAATACCGGGGCTTGAACCTGAGACCTTTAGAATACAAAATGTGTGCTCTACCACTGAGCTATGTGCAGCAGTAAATTTGAATAGGAGCATAGGAAGCTGCCTATACTGAGTCAAACCATTGGTCCATCAAGCTCAGCACTGGGCAGCACTGGCAGGCAGCAGTTCTCCAAGGTTTCAGGCAGGAGGTTTTCCCAGTCTGACCTGGATACACCAGGAATTGAACCTGGGACCCTTTGTGTGTAGAACTTCCAAAGGGAAGGGGATATGAGCAAGAGAAGGAAGAATGGTAGTAATTAGGAAAGAAATAGTTCTAAGAAATGAACATAGTCTGGCTAATTGCAGAGAGTCAATGACATGAACCGCAACCAAAAGGAAGCTATTCCAAAAGGCCAGTAAATCCGAGTTCAGGAGGAGTAAATAACTTCTGAGTCCAAAGAAGATAGGGATGTTGTTAATGTCATATTCTTTGATCAGCAAGCTCCAACAGATATGCCGTAACCTCAGTCACATCCCAGCCTTTAAACTTATGCAGGGAGAGTAGAGGCCCGTTTATAAGCAGCAAAGCAGAAGGCATAGGATGAATTTCACACAACAAATGTTGACCTTGTTTCAACTTTGAGAGGACTGAAGCTATGTTGTCTATTATACTGAAGAGGAGACAGCTGAATCAAAGAGGAAAGAATCTGGAGGGTTAACAAGTGAGTCAAAGAGATGAAGAAGAAATGCAATCTCTATGGAAGGTGTTGATTAACGTCGAGCTTTTTATAGGGACAGTTTGAAATGATATGGTGTATGAAGAATTACTTCCATGAACCTGGTTACAGGCCTTTTAATGCAGATGGGGAAAGGGGTGAGGGAGCATGCAACAACCCGCATCATCTTGTTTGGATGACCGTGCCCTCATTGCGCTTTTGGAGTTGCCAAAGCACTTAGGAGGTCTTTGGCAGAAGAACTGAAAGATGAGAATGTGTGTGACAAGGAGAGGCGTTTGATGAGGGAAAGGAATGGTAAGAACAAAGGGAGAAAAGTTCATAAGGAAACCATTTAAGAAGACACCTGGCTATGACCAGAGAAAAAAGGAAGGGTGGTGGTGTGGGGGTGGACTTCATTCCGTGACGGCAATAATGTGGAGCGTTCTCAGTTCCAGACCTCTTGTTTCAACAGAATGGGAGATAATTTTGAGGAGAGCAATGAAGAGAAGAAATTTAGCAAAAAGGTGGGAAGGGTGTCGTGGCTCAGACTAGGCTAGGGAGCACCTCCACTGATGCAAACCTTTTTAAACAGGGATAGGGAAGAGGCAATCCTCCAGATGTTGTTGGATCTTTGCTCCCATGAATTGCAGGAGGTGGGACAAGATGATCCTCAGGCTCCCTTCAGACTCTATGATTCTATAACTTTCTATCTCTGACCATTGGGACTGAAGGGAATTGTCATGCAACAACTTGTTGATGGTACTAGGTTCCCTACTCGAAAGAAAGAAAGAAAGAAAGAAAGAAAGAAAGAAAGAAAGAAGGAAGGAAGGATCCAGTCTTAGGCACATTACATTCAAAGCACTACGATTCCACTTTAACAGCCATGGCTTCCTCCAAATATGCCTAGGGGCCGTAGTTTGTTAAGGGTGCTGAGAGTTGTCAGGAGAGCCCTACTCTGCTTGCAGCTTGCTACAATCCCCAGAGATTCTTGGGAAGAGGGACTGACTGTGGTTTAACTATCCAACCCTCTCCCCAAGGAACACTGTCCTAGCAGAGCTTGAGCTGCCCTGCAATCACATGCATTTATACAACATGATGGGAACAGTGTAATTGAGGGCATAATTAACGCCGTGCTCCCAGCCTTCAAGGTAGTAGTCAGTCAGAAGCTTCCTCGCTCTTACCTCTTGGCAGGCGCATGTGTGATTAAAAAGCCATTTCCCCCCAGGTTGCCCTGCTGTGTTTAGTAAACTCTCTAAAGAGCTGTTATAATAAATACAGCTTCAGCAAGCTTTTCAAGCCCAGGTTATCTAAACGCATTCATTTTCATTTGCAGGAGAAGGAGGAGAGACATCTGGCTGGCTGACAGTGTTATGGTCGTCTACACAGTGGGAAAGAGGGGGGAAATTAATCTCTCTGTGTCTCCTTTACTCCACTGGTCTGTGTTTATGTCCTTTGGCTATTTGACATACAGAAAGCATCAGAGGGCAAAGCTCTGTTCTCTGATGTTGAATTGCAACTAATCTCAAAAAGCTGAGCTGAGTGTGTAAATAAAGGGAGTCTTTGACCTGATGTTTTGGTCTCTGTCTGATAGACAGCAGATGAAGACGTCAAAGAAAAAAGAAACACCTCCGTTTGGACTGGACTATTGCATAAGGCTGATGGGAGGCTCACAATATTATATTGATTTGTATATAACATAAAATGCATATGAAAGAACAGCCTATTGAAAACTAGATGTCAAGGAGAAAGGCCATAACATGCCTTTCATGTGCATATTCTAGTATATGGGAATGGAGACTTTTGTTCAATAGGCAATCACACTGATCCCATGAGCTGCAGTCTGATGTCATACATTCCAGAGCTAGGGATGGAGGAGAAATTCAATTCAGCTTGCATTTAATAGTGAACCTCCTTAATATGCACTTTTCAAAACTGTATGAGAACTGAAACACAGCTGTCTCTCGAAATTTGCACTTCTTCGAATTTTTCAGTTTAGTTTTCCAATCAAACAGCGTTTACCAAAATGCATATGTCAGAGGTGAAATGTGCATAAAAATCAGCAACTGAAAACAACATACAGAAACGCATTATGTTAGGGAAAACAGCTGGCGAAATATGCACATTAGTCAAAACTGCGCACAAAAAGTATGATGATCAGGAGAAATCTTCACTAAATTTCTGACAAGTTTTCATGAGATGTGTTTTTAATGAGGATGTAGATTTGCCCCCCCCCAATAATACTGGAACCTGAGCCATTCAATGAAGCTGAATGGTGGGAGATTCAGGACAGGCAAAAGGAAGGACTTCTTCACCCAGCACATACCTGCTGAGGTTCATCTGCAGGAGATGGCTGCAGCATTCATGCCCTGCTTTGGGCTTCTCATAGGAATTTGGTTGGCCCCAGTGGAAAAAGAATGCTGGTCTAGATAGCCCCTTTGTCTCTTCTTCTTTGATTCTTGTTCATCCACATTCCCTTTCTCTAAACTACTATGATGTTACTGTAGCAATTACTTTGGGGGAAAACACTGCAGTTTACTCTGACTGGTTGCAGTCATAAACAATTGGAACAATCCTCCCCCACCGCTGGCTCACCATAAAACCAGGAGACGCCAATGGCTTCTATTAAAACAGCAAACAAGATGGACGTCCCAGCAGCAAATGTGTCCAACAGAGTCAGTATGTAGATTCCACCCTAAGTAACAAGAAGAAAGCATCCGATAAAACAAGCAGCCCAGAAATACTCGAACACTCAAAGCTCTGATTGGATGGGATCTAATTTGCTTGACAACCCATGTAACCAATCTATTTCAGTCCTAGGAGAGTCTGACTCAATACATACCAGTCCCCCCCCCCTAACCTGGTGTCTGTGATGAACAGACCATTGGGTTATCATCCTGGAGGCTGTTGGCCAATCATGCAGAGTAAAAGTAGGAAGAGACAGATTTAAAAGAAACAGTTCTGTCATGGGGAATGATAAGTAAAGAACATCAACTTGATCTCCAGGAGTGGGGGAGAGGGGGATATAAATGCAATAAATACATTACTAATTTTTAATTCTGCAATTTGAATCTCTCACTGGAGCATAAGACAACAGGATTTTCTCTATCATCTATGTATTGGGTCGGCAGCAGTTTCTGGTAAAAGGTAAAGGTAAAGGTACCCCTGCCCATACGGGCCAGTCTTGCCAGACTCTGGGGTTGTGTGCCCATCTCACTCAAGAGGCCGTGGGCCAGCGCTGTCCGCAGACACTTCCGGGTCACGTGGCCAGTGTGACATCGCTGCTCTGGCGAGCCAGAGCCGCACACGGAAACGCCATTTACCTTCCCGCTTGTAAGCAGTCCCTATTTATCTACTTGCACCGGGGGTGCTTTCAAACTGCTAGGTTGGCAGGCGCTGGGACCGAACGACGGGAGCGCACCCCACCGCGGGGATTCGAACTGCCGACCTTTTGATCAGCAAGCCCTAGGCGCTGAGGCTTTTACCCACAGCGCCACCCGCGTCCCAGCAGTTTCTGGCCATTGTGCCAAATCGTTATCTCTCCGACACAAAATTTGACGGAAGGATTGGCAGCTATCTGCTTGGTAGTCACTTGAGTTGTTGCTCAAGAATAGGCACAGACTTCCCAAAGGAACACTTACATTTGTTATGCAAAAGAGAGCAACAAGGAAGGTGCCGAAGGAGACCCCAAATGTGAAAAGCTTTCTATGTCTTTTTAGGATGTGGAAATCATCTGCTAAGCCAGTGATGACAGCTTCCATGCCACCCATCTAAAAAGAAAAAGAAAATTAAAAAAGAAAATTGCAGGTTAGCAAAAATGCTTTATCATTTAACCTTCTCCCATTATTATTTTTAAAAACTGGTATAAATTAATTACTCCAAGGGTGGCATCCAATGCAAGTCCTACGCAGAGTAGACCTAGAAGTAAATGGACATGGCTAACTTAGGATCATTTATTTCAGTGGGTCTACTCTGAGTAAGATTCCCAGAATTCTCTGTCAAAAAGAATTGATAAACCATTCTGAAATTGTAGCTCTGGCAGGGGAATGGGTTCACCTAACAACTATTGGCACCCTTAAGAAACTACAGCTCCAAGAATCCTGGAGAGTCACTGTGAATCAGTATAGACAATGCTGAAGTAGATAGATTAATGACCTGATTCAGTATAAGGCATCTTTCCATGACCCAAGATCCACCAAATCTGGCTTCCGGAGCCACCTTGAGAGTCAAATTGGCCAAGGGAAACTCATCAGATGAGGAAAATGGGAGATGGCTATTTTCTGCTGTTTGCCACAAACATCTGGTAACCAAAGATATCTTGTATCTTGTTCCATATGACATCTGATGACAATGGACAGACCAATCCTTCATGAATTTAACTAATTCTCGCTAAGGAAACCTATTAAGTATATGACCAAATGCCACATCCTGTGTGATTGAATTTCGCAAGTCAATTATCTATTGTGCAAGTTTTTCCTTTTTTTCTTTTTTTTGGGGGGGAGGGGGCCTGTCTTGAACCTATTACCAATTAGTTTCATCATGATCCAAGAGCTAGTAAAATGAGAGGGAACAACAGCAACCACTCTCTATAGCCAACATCTCCTCATAGGAATGATTTCGGACATGTAAACGAAACTACTTCTCCATGCAGCACTAATAATAATAATACTAATAATAAATTATTTATACATACAGTAATTAAACTATGGCACTCCCTCACATGGGGAGGGGCACTGTGATAGCAACCAACTTGAATGCCTTTAAAATAGGTTGGACAAATTCATGAAGGAGAAGGCTAGCCACAATGGCTATGCTCTACTTCAGGCACAGGCAAGCTTGGCCCTCCAGACGTTTTGGGACTACAACTCCCATGATCCCTAGCTAACAGGACCAGTGGTCAGGGATGATGGGAACTGTAGGTCCCAAAACATCTGGAGAGCCGAGTTTGCCTATGCCTGCTCTACTTCTACAGTCAGATGCGGTAATGCTTCTGATTACTAGTTGCTGGAAACCTCATGAGGGGAGCACAGGTGCCAACTATAGGGGGCCTTGGGGGCCGAGACATCCACAATTTTGGGGGGTGGGTGCACAGCACCCACAGCACAGACTCCAGCACAACTTCCAGTTTCTACCTTATGCTGACATACATTGGGTCTCTTGCTTCCTTCTGATAAATGACTGGTGTCTTTCAAGCTTTTATTCCTCTTGAAGGTGATGGAACGGCAACAGCCCCCCTGAGCATCACAGTCTGTCAGTTAGTCACCCTCCTGTAGTTTGAAGGCTCTGTTTGTTTTTCCCAGAAGTGAACTCACTCTTGATTTAAATATAGAAATCTTGATGCCACTCCAGCATCAAGAACAAGAAGAACTGAGTGCAGTTAGAGTGCTCTGAATGTATGGGGCAAGTCTGAAGTTTCAGCAAGCCACTTAATCCCAGTTAAAGAAAGTAAAGACAGACACTTATGAAAGTTCCCCCGTGCCACTGGTTCCCCTTCTCTAAAGCTCTCTTAATACATTAACAGACGTTGAGGGACCTGATTGTGAAATTACATTTAGGTCACTGAAATCCATGATGAAATGACTGAGATTCATTTAACTATTATTGTTCAAGCACCAGCCATAAACACAGGCTGAATCCAGACAGAAATGAAATCCTAGTAAAACTTTACTGAGGCAGCTAAACAAAAACAGTGTGTGATTTGAGAAAAGAACATAGGGCTTTTGTCTTTCTTATTTCAGGCCTTGTACATAGCAGAGAGAGATTCAACTAACCACACAGAGGAAAGCTCCCCCAGAACTACATAATCAACCAGAGTGTGTGCTAACTCAGCAACTTCATGCTGCTCTGCTTGCTGGCTAAGCAACCGCCTCCACCACCACCATCTTGGTTGGCCTGGCTTACTGATAACAGAAATAACCCTTAAGTTAAAAACTGAATGATCTCTGCTGTGGGACCTCTTACATAAATGGAACAGCAGCGTCGGAGTGACATTCATATATGTGTGTGAATAAAGAATCTTGCAAATGAAAAATAACATATACTTACAGAACTGTCAATACCCAGTGAAAGCAGCATTATGAAAAACACTATTGCCCAAAAAGTTGATCCTTTAAGGGTTGAAATAGCTTCTGGATAAATGATGAAAACTAATCCAGCTCCTGAGGAAGAAAGAAAGAAAAATAGTTTCCTAATTGCACAACTTTAAGGCAAGATTTTATATTTATATTTAATATTGGTTGGTTATGCCTTGGTTAGAAAGCCTTCTTTAATATTGCCTCTAATTCAGTTCCCTTCTCCCCCCCCCCCCCAACCCTTGGCTGAAAAGTTATGTATGCTGCATTGTAATGCTTGTAATATGTCAGCAGGGGTCACTATAGTGCTGCTTGCACAGCTTGCAACATAATGTATGTGGCCTAATCCTGCCTGGAAAGGCTTCTGCTTTGGGCCCAAAATGTGTTAAGAAAAGATTGGCTGTTTACATGTTTGTTATAGGTAGCAACACTGTCACCTGGCATAAGAACATCAAGTGATACAGTAAAATATTATTCCCTATAAAATGAATTAGGAAACAAGCCTTGAAAATAACCAGTCTTTTCTTAAAACATTTCTGAGACAGAGAAACCTTTCCAGTTCTGCAGGATTAGACCACACTCATTTTGCAGCATGCAACTCAGAAGACTGAGAGAGGCACATAGGTCAGAAGTGAAAATCTAGAGGAGAAAAAGGAGAAAAGTACTGCTTCAAGGTGGTGCAGAAGTGGTTTTGTCAACAGCACAAACAGATAGACATTGCATATAGACCAGGGAAATAAATCCCACACAAACATTAGCCAGAAATTGTACTTTGGAGCCTAGATATGTGCTTCTTGTTGGGAGCGAAGCATCATTGTTACCGGAACCAGTTTTGGGGGGTAGAATAAACAGAAAGGCAAGATGGAATTGATGAGGGAAGAATAAGTTGCCTACAAGTAACTATCTGTAGATCAGGCTTTGCTTCCTTCCTCCTCCTCCTCCACTTAGTTAGTGTTAGGCCTTCTTTTCTGTGAACCACATGCCTCCATGATGGCCACATGCAATCTTGTACTCAGAATGGCTTTCTTTGCCTGCAGTAATAAACCTTACAATACTTTATACTTTCAACCAGCAGGCTTACCAGACTATACATACTGTATAACAGCATACCATTGCTATATTTTCCGGGTAGGTGGGTCACTGTCACTTACCAAGAGAGAGAGGAGGAGGAGTGAGGTGGCAGTGTGGTCAATGTGGTGTAAACACAGTAATGGACCCAATCTGGTATTGCTGGTAGCACATTTATAAACACAGGAAGAGCCTGCTAGTTGAAGCCAATGGCCCATCTAGTCCAGCTTCCGGTTCTCAATGTGGCCACCCAAATTCCTGTGGGAAACTCGCAAGCAAAACCAAAGCACAAGTAGCACTATCCCATCCTGTGGTCTCCAGAAACTATTATTCAGTAACACTGCTGCCTCCAGCCATGGAGGTAGAGCATATCCATGATGGCTAGCAGCCATTGATAGCCTTCTCTTTCATGTATAATCCTAATTCTAAAGCCATTCAAGTTGGTGGCCATCACTGCCTTCTGTGGGAATGAGTTCCATAGATTAACCATGCACTGTGTAAAGAAGGGCTTTCTTTGGTAGAATCTACACACATATAAAAAATGCTTTTTTTAAAAAAAGTTTTGAATAATACATTGAATTTTGCATAGCCCACTGTTGCCATCTAGTGTCACGCTTGTATATTGCACTTTACAACACATTTCAAACTGTGTAGATGAGTCATTTATCTGTCCTGAATTCTGCAACATTCAGATTCATTGGCTGTATCCTGTCATGTGGCATTTTCAACTAAAAAGGAGAGGTGCATAGGTTTATGTAGTTTGAAACGAGGAAAGTGTGCAGATGCATTCTTACCTTCGGTGGCCACATCTTGAATTTTGACTTTGTATACATGTGCCATGTAGCCCAGTATAGAAAAAATGGCAAATCCAGAGATGAAGCTAGTGACACAATTGATCGTACTGGTCATCAACGCATCCCTAGGAGAAATCAGGAGATGATGAAAAGGCAGCAAGCAGATCCCAGTGCCAAACCCAGTTAAGAACCTCATGCAATGTCATTTTAGTAGAGCTAAACACAAATTTGAAGTACTGTATACAATTTGACTACTGTTTTTTAATGCCACCACCCAGCATCAATTTACACCAAGATCATCAAATTCTGCTGACCAAAGCATCTGTTTTGAGTTGACAGCTTGTGGTAGATTGCAATTTTGAGTGAACTGGTGTCAGTGTGTTAATACTCCGAGTGTCAGGAACAGAAGGCTCAGGTAGAGTCAATGGGCCTTGTCTGAGTGAAAAGAAATCTCAAGAGATCTCCACACCACTTCGGCATAGTGGTTAAAGTGTTAAGACGATGAGCCAGGTGACATGTGTTCAAATTCCTACTCAGCCTCAAAAATCACTCAGTAGTGCTGTACTGAAAATGTACGGAAACTTTAGTGAAAAGCTTATGGGTAGAGTGCTTTCCTCACTTTCAAGGAGGCCACTGGATATATATATATATATATATATATATATATATATCCCAGACTTGTAGAGTTTAATGATTCTAAAGAAATTTTGAAATGCCCTGCAGATGAAGCAGAAATAAACAGAAGGCGCTTTCATGAGCGAAGAAAATTTTTGGGAAATTGCAGGGCAGGTTTTCACCACCATTGGGTGACTGTGGGACAACCAGTCCCCATCAGTTTATTCTACCACACAAGGTTGTTGTGAGGGGGATAAATGAAGGGGAAAGAGCAGGGACATCTCAATACATTTGGTTAGCTGAGGCAAAGGGCAAAATGGTTCCACCTTCCAATTCCAGAAACAGAAGGTGGTGAGAATGGCAATAGGCCAAGATCCTACAGCAGCACCCGAGGAGAGGGCAAAGGGCAGGCCATACAGCCAACACAACTGTCTCCTCAGGCTCCTTGTCATTACCGCCTTCCCCCCAGAGTAATATAAATTGAAATGGTCTCAGGACCAAACATTGTTTGAGAGCGGAGGTGGCAAACCTGTGGCCCACCAGATGTTGTTGTACCACAACTCCCATCACCCTTGACCATTGCCTATTGTGGCTGGGGCTGATGGAAGTTGGAGTCCATCTGGGGACCACTTTCCCTGCATCAATTCTAAAGGCTATATATATGGAAGAGAGTGAATGACACGAGCCATAGAGAGGAAGACAGGATTATTAATCTTTGAAGAATTTAATGCAATACTGAATATCGCCTCAAGCAGTTTTTATCCAGGGCGGGGTGGCATCCCCACTCTGTTTTAGATGTTTCATGGCAAATTTACTCAGATTACAGGATAAAAGCAATTATGCAGGAAACGGTTCTCTCTCTCTCTCTCTCTCTCTCTCTCTCTCTCTCATTTTAAAGGCATGCTTCCTAGTGATTGGTTAATGGTAATCTAATTGCAAAAAAAAAAAAAAAAGGCAGATGGTTGTCATTTGGATAACTGCATGTGATTGCAGGTGTTGCTTCTGCTGCAAGATGATGCCCATTCATTGTCACAGTGGAATATCTTACTTGGAAATCTAAAGCCCAGGTCAAATCTGAAACAAACAAAATAGCAGACTGCCAAAGCCACTATTTGCTTCATTGTGGCATTGTGAATTTTGCGGAACATGAAGAGTCTGGTGGATCAGGCCAATGGCCCATCTAGTCCAGCATCCTGTTCTCAGTCACCAACCAGATGCCTGTGGGAAATGCACAAGCAGGACCCGAGCACAAGAGCCCTCTCCTGTCCTGCGGTTTCCAGCAACTGCTATTCAGAAGCGTAACTGCCTCCAATTGTGTGTAGCCATTGTGGCTTACCAGAGACAGGTACCATAACTTCAGTGGAACAGACACACTGGTCCAAATCTCTTGCACTGACACCAGTTTGGAGGATGCATGAAAATATGAATGGTTCTGTGGAGGGAGGGAACTACACATAGCCACTCTGGGGCAGTTATCCATCCTAAATGACCATCAACCATAGGTTTGGGAAACCAATGGCCCTCCAGATGTTTTTTGCCTCAGCCAATATAGCAATGGTCAGGGATGATGGGAGTTGTGGTCCAGCAACTGCCACGTATTCATGTGCACTTTCTAGGAGCATCATCTGAATCCTTCACCAGGTACCACTGCCATAAGAGTTTAGGCTAGTGGTGAATGGGGAGAAAGCCCCAGAGGTGGAATGTTTTTCCACCAGAGGCTCATCTGCTGCCAAATTTAATTACTTTTGCCCAGGCAGCTGCGTTATGTGACCCATGAGAGCAACAAAATAACCAGACTGTACAACGGTGATGGGATAAAATCAGGCCAAATCTTTATTGGCAGCAGCAGGCTGGGCAAGAGTTGGCATGGCATTGGGTCCCAGGATCAGTTCATCATTCCACAAGCCCCATGTTGATGGAATGGATCCGCAGGTTTTGGATCGCTCCAAACCTGTACAACAGGAGTCAGCCAGTGTTGAACCTTGCCATGGTGCAAGCAAGCAAGGTCTCACTGGGGGACCAGGGTACATATTCCAACCAGGCAGATACCAAACTCTCGTTTGGGTTTGCCGTGGTCAATCCTCCCCTCAGGCCCCTTATGGGGGAGCCCTATACTATGTTGATCCTGACCAATGCCATTTCTGCCCTCGTATAAACAATGTTCTTCTGCTTAACAAAAGAAAGCCATAATTTCACTGAGGGAAAGGTGAAAAAAACCCCAAACAAGTGCCAATCAGGTTGAGAGAAAAGAAAATCATTTCTGGCCCTGTCAACCAATGACCCAAATTTCCTCAGTGAAGGCTCTAACCCGAGGGTGGGCAAGATGCTGTCAAAGCAAAATGGCTGTGACATCCAGGGGAAGCAGCCTAATATAGGCTTTCCCCTCCCCTCTGCAGCAAAGGCTCATGGGCCAGCTTTTTCCCATGAGCCCCTCACACAGATAAGAAACCTTGCCCAGTATTTTGCTGCAAATCTAGGGGCCACAGTGACGCTGGGCAAAGGCATCATGTGCTTATTGGTAACGGAACGGGGGCTTAGATGCCGCACAAAGATCTTGATATTTACTCAACCCTGCTAATCTTTTAACAGGTTTCCTGTCTCTAAGTGATGTGATACCTTCCAGAATGAGAGACTGCATGCCCCTGCAAAGCCAGTCACTAGGGAAGAACATTAGGAGAAAGTGGTTGCTCTTTTGGACTTTGCATAGGCTTTTTATTGGCTGGTGTGGGAAACGAGATATTGGACTAGCTGGATCCAGTAAGGTTCTTAAGTTCAGTAACCTCAGGAATGAATACCTTCTTTCCAGAACAATGACAGCACTGTACAGACATGCATGCAAACATAGGAAGCTGACTAATACTGAGTCAGACCATTGGTCCATCTAGCTTAGCATTGTCTTCACTGACTGGTGTGGCTCACCAGGGTTTCAAGCAGAGGTCTCTCCCAGCCGTACCTGGAGATGCCAGGCTTGACCCTTAGAGCTTCTGCGTGCAAAGCAGGCATTCTATCACTGAGCCACATAACTCTAGGAAGCTCACAAGCCAAGGCCTTGTTTTGACCTTTCCCTGCTGATTTCCCCAGTTTGTGGAATGTAAAGGTAGACTGGCTCTGTACATTATTATTAAGAACATAAACACTTAAATGGAAATAAAATTGTCAAACAATCAAAAATATGTTTTCCTCATCTATTTAAACAAATAAAATTGATTACAGGGACATGAGTAGGTTTACAGCATTGTGGCTTACCTGTAGCAGTTGTTGTCAAATCTATTGTAGCTGGCAAAGGCAATTAAGACCCCAAACCCAGCCCCTAAGGAGTAAAATATTTGTGTGGCTGCATCAATCCATACCTGCATAAGGAGAACAGAGGAAGGTAGTTTGTGGATTATAGCAAAATTGAACAACAACAACAACAACTGTATTTTCAATTATATAATTTGTTTGGGGAGGGGGGGGATCCATTTCATAGATTGAAAGCTAAGAAATGGGGGAAAGCTCTGCTGAAATCCAGAAAGCATAGGTGAGCAAGAATTTGAGCCCATGTGGCCTACTTTAGTATTTCAAGGACAGGGGACAGGCACATCTGTGGCATGAAGAGGAGGAGGAAAACTGGGCTCCTGAGGGCAGACTGATAGGCAAATCTGTCACTCTCAGTTCTTCTCCATTTTTCATTTTTCCAGTGTTCACTTCCTAATCACTTTGCTAATGATTATGATTTTTTTTAAAAAGAAGTCCTCATGAAAATTCATTGGCATTTCGGTGCAAATTTCTTCTAATATGCATATGCTTGTATGCATTTGCCTAAATTACAAACGAAGTGATTTTTGCATGTCATTTTTACTAACAGATGCATTTTTGTGAACACTTTGCCCCCAACATATGCATTTGTATGCATTACTTGGCTGGACAACTGCATTACAAAATTCGGAGAAGCACGTTATTTAAAATAGTGGCTGTGTTCAGGTTTGTGTATTGCATTGAAAAGTGCAGATTAGGTAGCCCCTGGTCTCCAAAGCCACCCTTAAGGTTTAGACATGTTTGAGTGGGGGAAGAAGATGGTCCTTAATGTACCTTTGTACTAAGAGAGACTGTGCCCTCCAGACAATTTGGATGAAAACTCCCCCTGTGCTGGCTGGGGCTGATGGGAGTTGGCACAGAAAATATCTGGAGGGCACTATGTCAGTGAAGGCTATTCTAGGCCATTAATGGATGGGAAAGTTGGCATCAGCACTCACAACTGAACCTGGAAACAAACAGGTAACCAATAAAAATGCTATAGGACTGTGGATATGTGACACAGAACTCAAGCAGAGGATCGCTGGACTCAGGCAATGAGTAATACAAAACAATCACAACATGGACATCCAATGAAGCTGAATGTTGATCAATAGATGAAATAACTTCTTCACACAGCACACAGTTATGGGACAATGGAACTCCCTCCCACAGGAGGCAGTGAGGGCCAGTGAGGATTAGACAGTTCATTGAGGAAAAGGCTATCAATGGCTACTAGCTTTGCCTCCAAGCAGCAAATGCCTTTCAATATCAGATACTAGAAACCACAAGACGGGAGAGTGCTCTTGTGCTCAGGTCCTGCTTGTGGGCGAGAATAGGATGCTGGTATGATTATATGGTTAGATGGACCTTTGCCCGATCCAGCTGGCTCTTCTTATGCTCTTATTTTTACTGGTTGACACCAAGCGTGATGTACCTAGCAATTACTGTGCCCTAGGTGAGGGGTAAGGAAACTGTATCTCTCCAGAGGTTGCTTGACTACAGCTCCCATCTTCCCTTATCATTAGCCATGGTGGCTGGAGCTGATGTGAACTGGAGTCCAACAACATTCAGAGGCCCACAGGTATGCCAACCTAGGGCCCATGTTATATGTACATGTCAGTCTGTACTTTTTTAAAAAGTCATTCCAATGGGCAGATATTACATCTGATTCAACCTTAAAAGTAAAGGTAAAGGGACCCCTGACCATTAGGTCCAGTCGTGACCGACTCTGGGGTTGCGGCGCTCATCTCGCTTTCCTGGCCGAGGGAGCCAGCGTACAGCTTCCGGGTCATGTGGCCAGCATGACTAAGCCGCTTCTGGCGAACCAGAGCAGCGCACGGAAATGCCGTTTACCTTCCTGCTGGAGTGGCACCTATTTATCTACTTGCACTTTGAGGTGCTTTCGAACTGCTAGGTTGGCAGGAGCAGGGACAGAACAATGGGAGCTCACCCCATCATGGAGATTCGAACCGCCAACCTTCTGATCAGCAAGTCCTAGGCTCTGTGGTTTAACCCACAGTGCCATCCGCATCCCGATTCAACCTTAAGCCACATCTAATTCAGACAATTTGTTCCACCATAACCGTTCCCTGACCTTCCATTCCCCCCACACCAATAAATTTACTTCCTGCATGGTTTAAGCTTAAAACTCTTTTATTTCTCACCTCTGACACATGCCATATGCATTTAAAAATAAATCCATCTGTTGTTTTTGCTTTAATTCCAAGTACACCACAGCTGCAGGCTGCAATCTACATTTGTGCTATATGTTGACTTCAACAGCACTAGTACTACACAGAGCTGTTTACCCAAAACTACTTCAAGTTTCCTAAATATTTTCCCAAGAGGTGCCAGCCAGTCTCTTCTTCTAAGCTTTAGCATTGCGTCATTGCAAGCATTACTACGCCATTGTGGTAATGCATGATTCTGGCTGGCAAACAATCATAGGCAGATTTATAGCCTGAGGAAGAGAAAAACAACCAGGGCACCCACAAACACTAAAGTATTTGCAGGAAGCTCTTCGCAGAGAACAATGAGGAAGGGAGACACACTCTTCCTGGCATCTCAGATTTCACTGGGTAGCTACTGCTGCTCCTTTTGTGAAAGAGACACTAGATGTCTGCAGGACAGCAATTCATTCATTGCTGGGGAGCCAATGAGGTTACAACTTCCTGCCGTAGGCATTCCAGAGGCACGGATTCATTGTTCAGTATCAGGTACCTTTGAGAAGATATGGGATAACCCCAGAGAATAGCAACATGAAGCAGCTTGAATTGGGCCTGGAAATGAACAGCAAACAGATAAAGCTGTGACTTAGGTCCACCAAGCCAGCCAGTTCTAAAAGGCAGAGGTTCATCTTGAATTACCTAAATAACACATCTGTTAAGTACATGACCCTTAACAGATGCAATTCCCTAGCATCTCTAAGCATGAGTGCACATGGAAAGCTCTTAATACAACATGGTTTACTGAATTTTGATGTTGTTAATTAAGAAGATAAGAAGAGCCTGCTGGGTCAGGCTGATGACTCATCTAGTTCAGCATCCTCTTCTCACACTGGCCACCTGGATGCCTCTGAGAAACTGACCAGCAGATCCCAAGCACAAGAGAACTCTCCCCACCTGTGATTTCCAGCAACTGGTGTACAGAAGCATTACTATCTTGGACCATAACCATAATGGCTGCTAGCCACTGATATCTTTATCCATGAACTTGTCCAATCCTCTTTTAAATCCACCCAAGATGGTGGTCATCACTGCCTCCTGTGGGGGGGGGTGAGTTCCATTGCTTAACCATGCAATATATGAAGAGGTGCTTTATTTAACCAGACTTCCATCTGTCAACATTCAGCCTCGTTGGATGTCCAAGTGTTCTATTATTATGAAAGAGGCATAAAACATCTCTCTAGCTAATGATAAATCAACTGCATGTGAATGAACAAACTTGATTTGTTACTGTAATCTCCTTTTCAATGTTAAATGCAAAGGTTGAAACCAAGCACTCACTGTGGCTTCTTTTAATCTTCTAAAGTCAATGTTGAGGTATGCTTTGATTCCATCATACGCACCAGGCAATGTCAGTCCATGGATTAACAGTACGGATAAAACAACGTAAGGCAATGTGGCTGTTATCCATACAACCTATTAAGTTAAGACAAGCAACAAAAACAATTGATCTGTCTCTTGAATGGCAAAGACAGCATTACTACTGCAATAATAATAATAACAATAATAATTTATTACTTATACACCACCCATCTGGCCAGGCCTCCCCAGCCACTCTGGGTGGCTCCCAACAGAATACTAAAAGCACAATAAAACATCAAACATTAAAAACTTCCCTAAACATGGCTGCCTTCAGATGTTTTCTAAAAGTTAGATAGTTGTTTATTTCCTTGACATCTAATGGGAGGGCGTTCCAAGGGATGGATGCCACTACCGAGAAGACCCTCTGTCTGGTTCCCTGTAACCTCACTTCTCGCAGTGAGGGAACCGCCAGAAGGCCCTTGGGAGCTGGACCTCACTGTCCGGGCTGAATGATGGGGGTGGAGACGCTCCTCTCTCTTTGACTACTTTTTTCTTTGTTAAAAAAGAAATGCAACCAACCATTTGAACAGCATCTTTCCATTCAGTATAGTGGGGTAGGAGAGCTGGGAGGAAAATTCACATCTGGCAACCAATGTGCCCCTTTGGTTTCAGATAATACATGGGTAGATGAGTCTTAAAAGCCCGAGGCACAAATTTTCATGGCCTTCTAGTGGCTATGGTGGCTCACGTAGCAGTATTTAGCACCAACTCTGGGAGTGTATATTCGATTCTGGCCAAACTAAACGTCCTAGAGCAAAATATACATCAGGACAAGGTTGTCTTGCTCCCCATTCCTTTATCCCTTCTTCTTTTCATGTATAAAGAAAGATTGAACTAAGCAGAATTTGCCATTAAGTCTAAATGCAGGAAATTGTGGCTTAATCTAACTGTGGTTACATAAAACAAACCTCAATCAAACCATGTTCAGTCTCTGGCACCTAATCAAGGGAGGCTATGGAAGTCTGAACAGGTATCTGGATATAGCCTGGGTAATTTGGAATGGATGATGGGGACAAAGAAGCTGAAACTTAATTGAGACAATACAAAAGTGTGGTGAGTGGGGTAAGATCAGTCTTAGATGGGTTGAGGCTGTCAGGAGCTAGAGTCAAATGTAGGTCAGCAATCAACCCAGAGTCAGTGAAGTTAACTCTTTATTCCAGAAGCCATAACAGCACCTCTTTCCAGTAGGTTTTGTTCTAACAAGGCAAATGCAGGGACTGATTGATGGTCCCTGCCTTCCCTAAGGCTCCTCCTCCCAAGCAGTTGCAAACTGTGCTCCACTCTCTTCATTTTTCTCTGTGTTCTAGGAGACCCAAGGGGAAGGGAAGCTGGCCACAGCAGGATGGGGAGACTCCCTGGCTTCTTCAACAGTCTGCCTCTCTGTCTTCTGGCTCCACTCTCCTCCAGCTTCCGCTTCTGCCTCAGAGTCTGAGCTGCCCTCTGCCATAACCTCTTCCTGCTCACCAACCCTGTTACCTTTTTGACTTCTGACCTTGGGGGTTCCCCAGCTGATGCCTTCCACCACAATGCTGCATCCAGCCAGTTCATGACAGGCTCACAGTTTAGGGGGTACTCCACTGCTTGGCATAGCATCAGAGAAGGTAAAGAGAAGGTGGAAACTGCATGAACCACTGTGTGCCTATATGTCTGGAATACAAAGCATGGCTTGAAAGTAGACAGTGTTCTGTGCAAACCATGGTTTGATGTTACATCTGAACCACCAAAACCCTAATAGAAAAGCCCTTTTTAAAGAAAAAATGTATGTATTAGGAAAATATTTGCCAACCTTTCCTGAAGTCTTCACACCTTTCCACAGGCTGAAGAAAACAGTGATCACCACAACCACGAGACACAGTGTGAGCTGCCATTGGGGCAAGCCGATATCATGAATCCCCCGGCTTAGGTGAAGCTGTAGAACTCTCCGCCTAAGCAAAAAGAGACAGAAGAGGGATTGAGTTAGATCCTTTTGTATGGAAAAACAATCACTAACTGGCTCCACACTTGTTTGAAGTGGTGTGACTTGGTTTCAGCAAAGCATGTCCTCCCTAAAAGAGGGCACATGTTGCCATGAGACCTGGACACTGTGGGTGGGTTAATTGGACAGCCACAACACCTGACTGGTAGGTCCCTCGTTGCTGGGTTTAATCTGGCCAATGGGGTGCAATCTAAACAGATCAAGGGACCTATATACACCTATGCACGTGACCCAGAGCTTACTCTTTCGGCTCATGCATTGGAACACCCACCCACCTCTCCCTATATTTAGGGTATTTTGTGATTGACCTTGCTATGCCAACGTGCGTTGTCTGTCGTTGGGACAGGGGCACGGCAGGAATTTTCCCCACATGGCTGATTGGCTGTTGCCATTTGGGTTTCATTTGCCGCATAGCAAATCGTCACAACTTGTAAGGTTGCAGATAGGCACTGGTTCAGGTGATAGGGATGGGAGAACGCTCTCGCCATCCCTATGTGAAGGGTACTCTGTTAAAGGAATCCAGGGACTCAACTTGGTTTGGTCAACCTCCGAGAGCGGGTTGTGCCCATGCCTGAGTCCAGGGGAGCATCTGGGGAGTGGACATAGTCTGTTCCTAGGCTTTCCACCTACCTCAGGTGTTCACCCTTGGCTGACCTATGATAGAGTTCTGGGTCAGCGCTACCTGCAAGGGTGCAGGGAACTAGTCGAACCAGAGCTTATGCAACCACTCACTTTTTGTAATCAATAAAGTTGTGGCCAACTTTCAGCCAAAAACCAAAACTAAAATTTAAGTCAAATGTGTGTTTATTTAGGGGGGAGGTCTCTGGGTCTGAACACACAAACAGTGAACTGTTTGTCAAGATCAAGGGGTCTGAAAAACATAGAAGTAAAAACAAAGAGAAAGTAATACACAGCTTGATGTCAGGACTGGACATCTAGATTTCCTAGATTGGAGGGGGAGCTCTCCTGCACCCCCCAGGCATATTTTGTCATTCCTCTTAAGCAACGATGTAGGCCATGTTCAGCGGTGAGCTAGTAATCAATTTCTGGCAGTTTACTCAGGGATTGTTGCAAAGGACGCTGGACTAAGTGGATCTCTTTTTGCCCCATCAAGGCATTTCTTGTGTCCTTAAACAAAAATGCATACTCAAGTGGGTCACTTTACACAGGTTTTGCCTTAGCTGTGAAAATACCCTGGATATACACTCTTGCTTTAGAGTAGGGGTGTGGAACCTCTGGCCCAGAAGGGTAAATTCATCCCTCCAAGCCCAAGACCCTAAAATGAGCCTCTTGGATCAGGCCCATGACCCATCTAGTCCAGCATCCTTTTCTCATAGTGGAGAGAACTTTTAAAAAAATGAAAGCTAAGAGTTCATCCCCCCCCCGTGGTATTGCAAATGCTCCCATGAATTTGTTGCCCTGGGCAAAGTGCACCGTTTGTTCTCCCATAAATACATCTCGTGGGACGCGGGTGGCACTGTGGGTTAAACCAAAGAGCCTAGGACTTGCCGATCAGAAGGTCGGCGGTTTGAATCCTTGTGACGGGGTGAGCTCCCATTGCTTGGTCCCTGCTCCTGCCAACCTAGCAGTTCGAAAGCACCTCAAAGTGCAAGTAGATAAATAGGTACTGCTCCAGCGGGAAGGTAAACGGCGTTTCTGTGCACTGCTCTGGTTCGCCAGAAGCGGCTTAGTCATGCTGGCCACATGACCCGGAAGCTGTACGCCAGCTCCCTTGGCCAGTAAAGCGAGATGAGCGCCGCAACCCTAGAGTCGGTCACGACTGGACCTAATGGTCAGGGGTCCCTTTACCTTTAAATACATCTCATTTCCCCTCCCAGAGCTACAATACTAGAGTGATTTAAACAGTCAATCCCTCTTGCCAGGGGACTCTGGAAATGGTAGCTTGGTGAGGCAAATAGAGGGTTAGGATTGTAGTTTGTAGTGCTCTGGGGGGAAATAGGGGTCTCATTACAACTCTCAGCAGCCTTAGCAAATTACATTTCCCAGGACTCGGGGGGGGGCATGGCTGTTTAATGGAGTATGATACAGCATTATATACATGGTATAGATGGAGCCTTAGAGACCTCTGACAAAAAAAAAAAAAAGATTATGGTCATTAGGGATACAAACTAAACCCAAGACCCTTAGATTGCCCTCTATTGTGGACTCAATTTTTCCTTTGTGAGTTGTATTGAAAGTCCATGCTTTATGTCGTCGTTAAAAGGACATGAAGCCTAAACAGGAAACAGAATTTAAAAGAATGTGAAATGCCTTGATGAGATGTGCCCACTTTGTTTTTCAATCTTGGTCTTTAAGATGGAGCCAGAAAAAACAAACACCCCTACTCTTAAACACATGACGTAGAAACCATATCTCTATAGATATTGTTCAGAGATTTTCTCCTCTCCTGGGGGAAAACTCAGCAAAATAATTCCCCAGTTTTCACCACCCACAAATTTGCATGTGGAAAATAATAGGTTCAAATCCTCTCTTGCAGCTGTTTCAAGCTTAAGATATTGCTGAAGGGAATTGCTTTCAGAGTAATGAAGCTGGGCAAAGGAAGCTGAGAGGCATGCTGGGACAGAGAGGCAATGGGGACACATTTTTCAAAAATAGATCCCAGAAGTTATCTCAAAACTGTCTCTATAGAACAGTGATTAGGGACATAGCTCACTGGTAAAACATCTGATTGGATGCAGAAGGTGCATCTCCAGGTAGAGATGGGAGAGACACCTGGAGAAACCCTGGAGAGCCGCTGCCAATGGACTGACCAGGTATAATGATGCCTCCTATGTTTTCATGGACCAATTGCATGTGAGTTTTGGTATGCACAGCTGTATGAAGACTTCCACTTCGAAGTCGTTTCTGTCAGCACATGGATTCAGGGGCACAGCCTAACAGCTGTGAATCAGACTATAAAAGTGTCCCTCCAAACTTCTGATTTTAAAAAAATATTTTTATTAAATTTTATCCATATAACCCAAATAACAAAACAGAACTTCATGAGACAAACACATAAAAACCAAACCAAACCAAGGTTAATGTGGTATGTTACATTTGCAAGAAGAAAATGATAAAGCTGTTCTTGGTTGTTTTTATCTACAGCACAGCCTTCCCCATTTCCCCCGTGCCCTAGATCATGCCTTCATTCCTTTTCATATCTTTAGGCACAAGGCAAAAACATTCCACTTCCCCAAGGCGTTCAGCTAATTAAACAATCTATGGCCTTTTAAACTGTGTGAAGGTTATTGTGTGTTACTATAGTATGTATGGGAGAAAGGCAATGGCAAACCTAGACAGCATCTTAAAAAGCAGAGACATCACCTTGCCAACAAAGGTCCGTATAGTTAAAGGCATGGTTTTCCCAGTAGTGATGTAAGGAAGTGAGAGCTGGACCATCAAGAAGGCGGATCGCCGAAGAATTGATGCTTTTGAATTATGGTGCTGGAGGAGACTCTTGAGAGTCCCATGGACTGCAAGAAGATCAAACGTATCCATTCTTAAGGAAATCAGCCCTGAATGCTCACTAGAAGGACAGATCGTGAAGCTGAGGCTCCAATACTTTGGCCACCTCATGAGAAGACACCCTGGAAAAGACCCTGATGTTGGGAGAAGGGGACGACAGAGGTTGAGATGGTTGGACAGTGTTCTCGAAGCTACAAACATGAGTCTGAACAAAGTGCGGGAGGCAGTGGAAGACAGGAGTGCCTGGCGTGCTCTGGTCCATGGGGTCACGAAGAGTCGGACACGACTAAACGACTAAACAACATAGTATGTATTTTTGTATTGTTATATTGTAAACCTCCCTGTGATCCTCAGATGAAGGGCGGTATATAAATTTTAATAATAATAATATTAATAATAATAATAATAATAACAACAACAACAACAACAAATGGCAAAACCATTATGAACATTCATTAGACCTCTGACCCTCCAGATGTCGTCAGACACCAACTCCCATCAGCCCCAGCCAGCATGGAAAACGGTCAGGGAAGATGGAAGTTGTAGTCCAGTAACATCTGAAAGAGGGACGCAGGTGGCACTGTGGGTAAAAGCCTCAGCGCCTAGGGCTTGCCGATCGAAAGGTCAGCGGTTCGAATCCCTGCGGCGGGGTGCGCTCCCGTCATTCGGTCCCAGCGCCTGCCAACCTAGCAGTTCGAAAGCACCCCCGGGTGCAAGTAGATAAATAGGGACCTCTTACAAGCGGGAAGGTAAACGGCGTTTCCGTGTGCGGCTCTGGCTCGCCAGAGCAGCGATGTCACACTGGCCACGTGACCCGGAAGTGTCTCCGGACAGCGCTGGCCCCCGGCCTCTTGAGTGAGATGGGCGCACAACCCTAGAGTCTGTCAAGACTGGCCCGTACGGGCAGGGGTACCTTTACCTTTTAACATCTGAAAGGTGCTAGATTAGAGACGGTAGGAGAAAATAGCTGCTTTTATTTTTATTATTTGTTTTTAGTATTATGTGGCATTTGATTATGCCTGTTGAAGCTTATCAAAATAATGAGGGGAAATGGTTAAAGATTTAAAGGTAATAAATGATCCCATGGTTCTAAAACTGGTCAATGTATTTGTTTGTCTTCTAAAAAGAAAACACATTAATACTACAATGCGAAACAGATTGTTAAACAAATAAACTTTGCTGAGAGGGAAATTGCTCCATCCCTGTGTTGTGAGGCCAACTTGAGTAAGGAGACCACTTTCTGGACTTCTCTCTTGCATTATCTTTTTGATACAACTATAGAGGAAATAATAGAAAACACTACACGTCTATTTCCACTTCCACTGCCATAATTACTGCCTAGATCAAATAATAGAGACCTATGGGTGGGTGTGGGTGTGTTGCAATAGACAGCCACTTAGTATTTTACATTGTGCCTTGGCTAGTAACAATCATGAATTCTGTGCCATTTAATAACACAGAGCGAAAGGGGCTCAAAGATAATGAAACTGAAGCATCCACTAGGTCCCACAGATGTGTCAGCAGCAATCCACAAACAGTGGTATCAATGGCTACAAGAGGATCTGAATCGTCAATTGCTCCATCCTGAATACAGCATTCAGACTCAGGAAACTTATTTCCATTGTTGAGTGGGTTCAGGGGAACAAAGGGACACAGGAAGCTGACTCATACTCAGTCAAACTATTGGTTCTTCTAGCTCAGTATTGACTGGCAGCAGCTCTCAAAGTTTGCAGATAGGGTTCTCTTCCAGCCCTTCCAGGAGATATCAGGAGTTTAACTTGCCCCCTGGTTACTTTTTTCTCCCCTGAAAAGTAGATCGAGGAGACGGAGGATGGAAGAAGGGTACTCTTTCCCACTTCCACTTTCATCTCTATGTGCTTTTCAAGGTTCAGGTTAATCCTATTAGATAGAACTTTTATCCAGATCTCTTGAAAGCAAAGTTTGTGTACAGGTGCAATCATGCTTCTTGTCCCCAGGAAAAGCGGCTGATCTGGGGCAGAGGAAAAATAAGTGGATAGAGGCAGTGGTGTCCACAATACTCACTCAAAAATACGCAAGTGCCCCCATGCCAAAAAATGATTGGTGGGGCATGACTTAGGCTCCTTTCAGATTAGTGGAGAGGTTGGCAACAAGTCATTGATGCAATAAGAGTACATTTAATGATAGAGTAATGCTGGATGTGGGTGGCACTGTGGTGTAAACCACTGAGCCTAGGGCTTGCTGATCGGAAGGTCGGCAGTTCGAATCACCGCAACAGGGTGAGCTCCCGTTGTTCAGTCCCAGCTCCTGCCAACCTAGCAGTTCGAAAGCACGTCAAAATGCAAGTAGAAAGGCGGAAAGGTAAACAGTGTTTCTGTGCACTGCTCTGATTTCACCAGAAGCGGCTTAGTCATGCTGGCCACATGACCCAGAAAAACTGTCTGTGGACAAACACTGGTTTCTCGGCCAGTAAAGCGAGATGAGCGCTACAACCCCAGAGTTGTTCGCGACTGGACTTAACTGTCAGGGGTCCTTTACTTTTTTAAAAAAATGCTGGATTGCCCACATATCAATCAGCTTTATTAATCTTCCTGTGATGTTTCCCGAATGTTACGTTATTGTTGCCTTGAGCTACAAAAGTGGGGAAAATGCACAAACCCAGGACAACTGTGGTATAAAAAGTTGCAGGGTTTGAGCAGGAAGCTACAGGGCATGCACCAATTGTAAATGAAGCAGCTTGGCCATCCCAAATTTTAGCAGGTTCAAATGATAATGAAAGTGAGATTGTGTAAAAAAAAGGGAGATTGTGTATAACTATTGTGATGACCAGTGCTCCCCCCCAGGGTACTCAAGGGTACGCAGTACCGGCACCTTTTTTTTGGGGGGGGGGTAGTCGTTAAAAAGTATGACACTTACTGTAACAACTTCATGCTGAATACTGACACCTATTTCTCTAGAAAAAAAGCACTGGTGACAACCATCATGAGCACAAATAATCATGAATGCATATTTAAAGGGATGTCAGAAGAGGCCCTTAAATACATCCCAGAGAAACTGCAAACTGTTTTCCAAAAGTGAAAGCCACAAGGAGCCCCAAACTTACTCATAAAATTCAGCTGCAGGAGTTATCTTGTACTTGGAATAAGTGGTTCCAGCAGCAAATGTTGAGGCATTGATGAGTTTGGGGTCTATGCAGTTGGGGCTGTTCCAGGGGTTGCCACACTTCGTCCAGGGAAGCTCCTCCAGTGTGAAGGATGCAAACAGATAATACAGAGACCAAGCTATGATAACGTTGTAGTAGAAACCCACGTATAGAGCTATGAGTATCACAGCATAGCCTACACCTGAAGACAAAGGAAAACCAGATTACACATGAAGCTGTAAGTCACATTAGGTTCATCTTCCTAGTGAGGGCTAGAAGAGAGTGGTATTGCTCATCACCCCAACCAACTATTTGCCAAATATTATTAACAATAATAATTTCACACCAAGGCGTTTGCTTGGTGCTGGGAAGCTTTCATTCAGGGTGGGGTACATAGGCTGGTCAATCAAGGCACAGCCTTTGTGTTTCCCTGCTTTGTTGTATTTCTGACCATATGGATGCCAAATTTAATTAAGAAATTGAGTTGGAAGGGATCTTGAAAGTAATTAAGTCCAGCCCTCTGCTCAAAGCAGGATCTGCAATGCAGGGTGCAACTGCAGAATCCCTGAGAGATGACTTGTCCAGTCTCTGCTTAAATACCTACAGCAGAAAACCGAGAGCCTTTTACTTGAAAGGTAGGGGAGAAATCACCATAATTAAAACAAGCAACCCAAATACTTATGCTAATTACAAAAAAAGCTAACATATTGTGAAAACATGTAAATTAACTTTTTAAGGAAAGTGCAGTGAATTATTGTAAACTGTAAATGCAAATAATTCATAGCATAGTTCTTCTCTTGGATTTTTACAGCAGGGTCATGTTTTGCACTTATTATTATTATTATTCCTGCATTTCCTCCCAAAGGTGCCCAGCTACTGAAATATACAAAAATTCCAATAGTAGAAAGTAATAGCAACATTTGAAAGGCTCTTGCAAAGGTAATCTGTGACCTGTGTGTTGGAATATTTGACAGCATTTAACAGTAGTGAAACAAACAGGCTTAAACTGATGATCTGACCGGTTAATTGATTGGCTTGTCAATCCTAGCAAAAATGTGTACAAAAGTAGTGTAAACCCAAACTCAAAATCCAGAATAGCACCCGTGGGGTATATTATTCTAGCATGTCATTAGAGTAAATTTGAGAAGCAAATCTGGACACAGCCTGCTATTTACAACAGCTGGGTGACACCCAAGTGGTTGAAGGCAGCCTTCTTATCCCAACATTTGAATGAATACTTCCACAGTGATTGCAGGGTACGCTCCTGGTGCCAAACACGGCGGGCTCACATCATTACCACCAAGTCCCAGATTTTACAGCACTGCCATTTATAGCTAATATTAGCCTGTTGTGTTTAATGTCTGTTTGCTTTCTGGTCCAAAGGGTCTTTCCAGGTGCAGCAAACTAAAATTAGCCAACTTCTCTCTCTCCCTCCCCCTCCCCATTAGAAGTGTTTTTAACTAATTAGGAATAAACTGTTGGCTTATCATCACTACTAAAGATTCAAATTCATGAAAAACCATGAAAATGAGAGCTCTGGAGCAGTTTGCAGCCCATGACACCCAAAGCTAGAGCTTTGAACTGGGCTCTGTCCAAGGCTTCCCCGCTACCAGCATTTCATCAACAGCTACATTTTTACTCTGGGTCCAAATGTACTAGAGTTTAAATGGCAACACACAGAGATCCACCATGGCTGTTCCTATTGTTCAGGTGAGGCAGGCAACACCAGACTGCTAACTTGGGGGTGTTGTGAAAAAAACAACAACAGAAAACTGAGAGTGAGTCAGTGAGACAAAATTCTCATGGGGGAAGTTCTAGATTAAAAATGAGGCAGGTGGGAAAAGATGGCAGAAAGAGGAGTGACCCTGATTCCCTACCCTTTCAGGTAGATAAACAACTACCTGACATTTAGAAGACATATGAAGGCAGCCCTGTTCAGGGAAGTTTTTAATGTGTGACATTTTAATGTATTTTTAATCTTTGTTGGAAGCCACCCAGAGTGGCTAAGGAAACCCAGCCAGATGGGCGGGGTACAAATAAATCATCATCATCATCATCATCATCATCGGCAGTTTTAGGGCAGCCTGGCCAGTTCCCCTGCACTGGGTACTGAGTAGATAGAAGCACTTGCCCGGCTATGGGAAAGAAGCTTGAGGTCTCTGGCAGGGGCCTAGAGTCCCTCTCACCTCCTTCACAAAGCTTAGCTACCACTTTCCCAGCTTTGGGAAGGAGGAGGGAAGCCTCTAGGATCCTGCCAGAGCCTCCCACCTCCTTCCCAAAGCCTGGCACTGCATGAGGGCTGCAGGGGTGGTGCACCAAATTTTGGCCTAGCTCAGGGTGAGGTTGCACCAGACTCCACCCCTGTTGTTGTTTTCACTTTTGCTAGCAGTTTTGCAACGGTGGCAGCAAAACAACAGAGGAGCCTCCTGGATGAGACCAATGTGCCGTCTAATCCAGCATCCTTATAATAATTCACTACAGTTTTATTAAAGACTCGTTTGTTTTGGAGATTCATGCAGACCTGTTGATGAGCATGGCATCTTTTTGTTGTTAGTAAGGTGGATGCTTTTGGGCAGGGATAGTTCATCAGCATTTGCCCAGATATTTTTAGACTTGTCAAATAGCTAACACTTTTCCTGGAGGAACCTTTTTTAAAATCTCCTATATATCGTCATGCAAAATGGTGTCTATCTTCCTGCTATATCTGCTTTCACCAACTTGGTGCCTTCCAGATGTTTGGGAATACAACTCCTGTCAGCCTCGGCCAGTGCACCATTGCTGGCTGGGGCTGATGGAAATTGTAGTGCAAAAACATCTGGAAGGCACCAAGTTACTGAAGGCTGCCCTAAAGTCTATTTTTTTGCTGATGAGCAATAAAGGCATTAGTGACAAGTGACTCTCAAAATACAGATGTTAGCTATTCTGACCTTGCCAAAAACTTTCAATGCAAGCCTCGGAGATGCGTTCAATATCAAGGAACTCCAGAAGATATTGCAAATATATTAAGCAGAAAGCCTGGGATTTACCTTTAAAAAGTGGACAGATTTTCCATACGGTGGCAGCCCCTTCTCTGTTATACTGGCCCAAAGCTAGTTCCATGTAGAACAAGGGCATCCCAGCAATGACGAGGAAGAGTATGTAAGGTATAAGGAAGGCACCTGGAAACAGAAGCACCAAGACAGAGATCAACCAAGCTCCAACTCTACAATTCTATGCTTCTAATTATGCGACCCATTTCAACCCAGTCAGGCAATGCTTCCTGGGCTGAATCTAGACATATATAAAAAAAGCACTATGAAAATGCTCTTTTAAAAGAAAGTTTTAAAATATATGTTGAATTTCCCATTAGCTCACCATCGTCATCTAGTGACTCATTTGTATAATAATGCACTTAAAGGTAAAGGGACCCCTGACCATTAGGTCCAGTCGTGACCGTCTCTGGGGTTGCGGCGCTCATCTCGCTTTACTGGCCAAGGGAGCCGGCGTACAGCTTCCGGGTCATGTGGCCAGCATGACTAAGCCGCTTCTGGTGAACCAGAGCAGCGCATGGAAACACTATTTACCTTCCCGCTGGAGCAGTACCTATTTATCTACTTGCACTTTTGTGCTTTCGAACTGCTAGGTTGGCAGGAGCAGGGACCGAGCAACAGGAGCTCACCCCATCGCAGGATTTGAACCACTGACCTTCTGATCGGCAAGTCCTAGGCTCTGTGGCTTAACCCACAGCGCCACCCACGCCCCTTAATAATGCACTTAAAACACACTTAAAATGTTGTTTGCAGCTGTACAGCTGAGTCCCTGGATTCCCTTCCTGCATCCCACACCATTTTCCACTGCAGACACAGAACCTCGCATTGTCTCCCTCCCCCCCAACTTTTCAACTGCCCATTTGCTAAGCTTTGTGTGGCTGGACAGTGTTCAATGCACTGAGCAACATTCCAGATGTGCGATATAATATAATGTTTTAATGTGTGTGTGTGTGTGTGTGTGTGTGTGTGTGTGTGTATATACACACACACACACACACACACACACACACACACACAGCAATAGCTACAACACTTGGCTGAGTAACTCCATCTCCGAGATACAGTCTCTCTGGGAAAGCAAATGCATTCTCTCATCAGGACACGGCTAATTTAAATATCAAAGTGTAACAAGCGTTAATGGGGGATGTTCAAGATCAAATAAAATAAGAATCAGGCAGATTGCATGCATCCATTTGGGGAGTTGACAGACACTGCAGTACAAAACAAAGAAGCCCAACAACAACAGCCCCCACCCCAAGGCCCCTCTGAGATGCTGGTAACCAGAGGATTGGTATTTCAAAAGAGCATCTTCCAAAAATCTTTTCTGTCACACTATAAGCTCAGAACAATACCATGCCTGGCAACCCTGAAATCACTGGTTAAGAGTTTGCTTTTAACTGCTTTTATAATGCTTTATATATATTGCTATTATTGCTATTATTATTATTGATAGGTTTGGTGGCCTGGTAACCTTCTGGAGCAAGGGTTTTAAATTGCTTTTATGTAGTGTTTTAATGCTGTAAACCCACCCTGAGACTTTAGGGCGAAGGAAGGTAATCAATAAATTAATGATAGACTGAATAAATAAATCAGTGTAAAGAATACACCCACTTAAGAGATTTTTAACATATTAAAGCAGTCAAGCAATGCTTTTAAACAAATAAATTAAAATATGCAAGACATGATCTGATGTGAACAAAGATCAGTCATTTTGGATTCCACCAAATTTCGCATATAAATCCCTTTAAGACTGGATTGGTACTTTAAAGTGTCCAACACTTCAGCTGTAGCAACTGCCGGAGAGAGGCAGCGTCAAGTGTTGGATTTGCAAAGGCCTTTCTTTCTTTCTTTCTTTCTTTCTTTCTTTCTTTCTTTCTTTCTTGAAGTCAGATCTTCAAAATGTTTTAATACTTTCTTTTTTTAGCTCACTCCTCCTTGATTGTCAGAGTGCAAAAAACCCAAATAAGCAAACAAGCTTCCAGACAACCATTCTGAAAGGAGCACATTCTGGAGAGGAAAGAGAAAATAGCTTCTTAGAAAAGGGTCAAGAGGGGCAGAGAGGAGAAGGATCACTGAGAGCCACTGCACACTAAGGTGAAGAAAAGTGCTTTAAAACATCTGAAATAAGCTACGTGTGTCTTTCAAGAGGATTAATGCAGAAGCCAATAGGAGGTAGATGATTGAAAATTCTGCCCAGAGCAGGATCAAACAAAAAACATGAGCGCCTCAAGATTACACTTAAGGCTCTTATCACTGTGCCACAATCAACTGTGTTTTAATTCACAAGTGGTGTTTCTGCAGCCAAGCAACTGAAGCTGAAAGTGCCTCTACCTTCCAAGGTTGTAGCAGGAGAAGGGTTGTCACACAGCTCAATGGTAGAGAATCTGCTTTTCATGCAGAAGCTCTCAAGATCGATCACAGGCATCTTCAGGTTGGACTGGGGGGGAGACTCAGCCTGAAACCCTGGACAGCCCCTGCTCTAGTTAGCGTTGACATCATAGAAGCAGAAGGCTCAATAGTGTGGCTCAGTACAGGATGACTTCCTATGTTCCCTGTGGCTAAGGTAAGGTCACCAGATGTCCCCGTTTCCTGGGGACAGTCCCCGGATTTACAAATCAGTCCCCATACAAAATCCATTGAAGTTGAAAAGTGTCCCTGGATTCATTGAAAAAAATCTGGTAACCTTAGGCTAAGGGCAGTACTTTTTTTGAGCCGGAACACACTGGAGCGCAGTCCCGGCACCTTTTCTCTCCCCCCCCCCCACAAAAAAGAAGTGCACTATATATACATATGTAAAAAAATCTATCTCTGCCTGTCCCTTCAGCAGCCGCTGGGTCAGCCTTTCCAAGAGATTTGAAGCTCCGCTGCCACTGCTGTCTGAGTTTTCCACCCACCGCTGCCTCATTCTGCTTTACTGCCACCTCCCTCCCTCCTTATTTATTATGGTTTGGTTTTCTACCCAAGAGGTACTTGTGAGATTTTTCTGCTCTAGGTTGAATCATCCCCTTGTCCTCCTCTCCACCCCCCCCACTTCCCCTGCTTTCTCTATCTCTCCCTCACTCCCAACTCCCCTTCTCTCCCCCCCCCCCCCGGACGCTGGTTGGGTCTGACTTGGCGGCCCCTGCCCACTCCCCCTGCCTGCTTCTCCTCCCATCAAGAAACCTGCTGCCACCACCACGATCAGATATTGATCACTGTGACCACAGCAGCAGCCCGCCATGGAAGGGGCTAAGAGCAGGGGGGTAAGAGCGAGGCGGGAGCAAGGCAGGGGAGAGGGGGCAGTTCTAGAGCCTTTTTTTCCTATAAAAAAGCGCTGGCACTTCACCAAGCAATATGTGAAGAAGTACTACCTTAGTCCATTGTCAGTCTGCGAATTCCCCAATTGGTTTCTAACTAGAGAAAAATAAAAACTTCCATGTCATGCGCAATTTCATACACCTCTATCACGCCCCACCCTTTCCCCCTCAATTATAAATGCCCCAAATGCTGCAGCCCTTTCTCAGAGGACCATTTTCCCACTCCTGTCAATGACAAAGTGAGTGCTTGCATCATAACACAGATAAAGAGCCTGTGGCCCTCCAGAGTCATGTTGATGTTGCTTCAGCAAGCACCAGCCTTAGACTAAGCCTTACGCAGAGGCAGCAGGTCTTAGAGGACTCTGAGCAAGAAAAGCATTTGCATGGAATGCGGGCCCTAGAATACGTTGGCAAGATGAGCCCATGGTACCAGTGCCCCGCTGGAACAAGGACGCCACGTTGCTGCCCCTCAAATGCATCTCCTAGTGGTACAGCAATAAAACTGCTAGTGCATTTGCAGCGTCTGGAATGGTTTCAAACTGGACGGGAGCCATTGCAGAAGCCTCGGTTCAAGTCTCCCTGACACTAAGTATGTGATGGCTGAAACAGGATGCATCCCTTAAACTGAAGAGTCACAACATACACATTTTTGTAAAGCCATCCCCCCTAATAGAATGCATTTTTGTATGTTCACTTACATATGCATTTGTATGCAGACTTTACCCTACTTTATCCGTTTTCTGAACACATGACTTGACTAGAGAAATGCATTGCCATGTTCCGAAAACTGAATTTCAAAAGATAACTATCTTTCATTATGCGTATTGTCATGGAAAGTGCAAAATAGGGAGGTCCACCTTTAAAGGCAAACTAAATCAAATTTCTCCCATATTCTTGACCTGAGAAATCACTTTACCCTATATATCTCCACTCAGCCACTTCCACATTTCTAAAAACACCATATGGCAGCATCCACACCCCGAAACTCATTGTACTCTTTTCTGCACCTGCTAAACCATTTTTGTTTAGGCAAGTCTCTCCAGACATGTGAAACTCTAGCAGACACGCACTTTAGTCTGGTTTTTAGCTTATCGTTGATTTCAATCTTTTTGGAATGCTTAAAGTCATTTTTAACTCTCTCTTTTTTTAGTGATGTTTGTTTTGTTTTATTATTTCTGTAAAACACTTTTAGGTTGTTGTTTTCTTTCATTCAAGCAGTATACAGATTTTGTGAAATAAGCAACCCATGAAGCTGTAGCAGATACACAACCAGAGATCATAACGGATCTCAAGTACAGATAAAGTTCAAAGATGGGAGCTTCAAGGTGTCCCTCAGCTTTGATCTGTGGCAACAGTGAACCTCTTTGGACACCCACCTTAAGGTGCTCATAGGAAGGTTTACACAGCCATGCAACTAATGATCTCAGTGTAATATTTCAGTTCCTTCAGCCACGGCTGACCTCTCCACCCCCAGGAAGAGCTGTGATTCCCAATGTTGGCAAAAAAAGTCCTGCAGAGATGCAAATCGCATCCAGCTGCTCCCTTTTGATCCTGCAATCTCTTCCGAGTGCTTTGACAGAGCACTTCCTACCCTTGTTATTCCAAACCACGTGACTGTTATTTGACATCAAAGTGTTCATTTACAAGTCTTATCCTGAAAAGCTCAAGTGTGCAAGATGAGACACTGTAAGGGAGAAATTATACCCCACTACCGCCACCCTGCACACACACTTTCACATCCTGTAACAGTGCTCATAAACCTCAGGTTTTTGTTTTTGTTTAAATAGTCTGTTTCTCTTCCAAATTAAACATACATAGTGCCCTGTAAAGGTG